TAAAGGTTTTTCCAACACATGTCTGATCACAAGGTTATCTTGGTATGAGATGGATGTCTGCAGGCGGATTTATGTTTTTTTATCCTTGTCTGTCACTGAAAGGACTTCCATCTTCTCACTAAAAAAGATCTTTATCATATTTCCAGTTTGGTTGTAGAGCACACAGAGAAAGAGCCGAAAAGAAAGACAGATGAATAACAGTACGTTTCAACCGGAAAACCCTTTAGAATCCCAGTCACAACTGTTTGAATAAACACCAAAAGCAACAGTTTCTACTGATTTGGATTTATTTCATATGTAGATCCTAACAGTCTGTGTTTTGTAGTGTTAATGTGCAATAACATTAAAGTCTGACTGAACCATCGTTTTCCTCTCACACAGGTTTTTATCCTGCCCGCTTGACTTCATTACAGTCAGCCACAAATCTTCAGAAGTCCAATTCAGCACAAGCGGCATTAGTGAGGCAAAAAAATTATAACAAAGCTGCATATACCAGAAATCTTATGAGCAAATAATTTCAACCCTGTATTCGCTTTATGAGAACATTACTGAGGACTTTTAGTGTTTCCTATTTTAGTTTATTTTAGTGTGCTTCTTTTGAATTTAATGTCAGATATTTCACCAGTTGAACATGGACCATGTTTGTTCTTCGAAACTCTTTGGGAGTGTTCAGGAACTGACTCGACCGGTAACAGGGGTTTTTCAGGTATTCAAAATTATATTCAGCTCCATTCAACGTAAAGCCTCAGCAACTTCCTTCTCCTTCGTCATGGTTTACAACACAAGTGGCATGCTCCGTGGTTTAGTGTGATTCATAAATTAACGTTGTACTATAAGGATATGGAGAAAAACTCAGTATACACGTATGCAGTAAATGCATGTATATCATCATGCATGTCTATCAGCAGATGAGGTGATTGATTTGCACATGTGGATCCAATTGTGAACAGCGTTTGACTGTTTGCAGAAATCCTCCTGAAGTAAATGTAAAGCCCTTATTTCCACCAAATAATTGACCCAATGCAAAGATACAAACCTTGACTTGGTAAGAAAAGGGATTTTTGAATAGCTTTCCTTAAAATCTATTGCTGGCATCTCAAGACTGCTCGTGTGGTGTGTTGGTCCACAGGTGGAACCAATGAACTATTGCCTTAAAGATCCACCTTTTAAATCTATACTCTGGCTTCATGTTGTGTACAATATGACATGTATTTATTTGAACTAATCTAAGAAGAGCTATTCATTAATCTCGTAAATTCCATGTTAGCGAAATGAAAATATTCCACGCTGCCAGATCACGAGCAGAAAAAGCACTTCCTGTTGATTAAACCAAGACCACATTACGTAAATAACTGGCCAACCGTGACAGCCTGTTAATCACATGTCAAGCTGCAGGACCTGCAGGTAGCTGGCACGCTCGCGCTAGAAGCCGCCCTGCCTGAACAACACAGCCATGCTATTTATGAGCATTTTGTTGTGCTCCTGGCAATGCGACACAGTTGAGGTATTGTCTGAAAACTGGGAGTCTCCTTCCCGCCCAGTAACTTGAGAAAAGGTCACATAGATGAAGGAAAAATCTGTTGTTTCCATTTATCGACTGTGTCACTGCTGACAGGTACGCTCAAAAGGTTCAGGCTCTCAAACAGATCCTTTGCTTTTTCATGTAAGTTACATCACCTGGTGTCACATTTTCCCTTAATATGCCGTCACAGAACCAGGACCTTTTGTATGTGTGGGTTTTGTCAACAACACAGTGTTTCTGGCTCCAAATCAGTCCTGGGGCATAGACCTCTCAGCAAAAAAAATTTCCACACCAGCCAGTGCCATGCTGCAGGAACGTGGGCCTGCTTCCAGCTACAAAACAGAAGCTTCATTTTTCTGGGTCTGACAGCACTTATAGGCTGATACAGTTTGTGTTGCCTCCTCTGCTCCAAAGCTTAGACAGGTGAAAGGTTGTTTCATCTCCCTGTCTCTGAGAAAAGGGAGACTATAAATACACGCATAAATGAGTACAGAAAGGTATCCAGGTACAAACTTTTATTCAAACTGGACTGAAATGCAAAGGAAACCACTATCCTGTTATTGTTTTTGTTAGTTTAGGAAAAAAATTCCCATGTGCACACGCATGGTATAACATGCAAACAAAGATTAAAACTGATACATGGACAAAAAGGCTGAAGGCTCCCTAACTAAGATATTAAGAATATAGTGACAGTTATTTATAATCTGGTGTTTTTCTGTCATAATTATAGGCTATAAATATTACTTTCTATGGTTCTGGTAAAGATTTGCATGCTTTTGGCTGCTGTGCTATTTATCACTCTGTGTGCAACACTGTGAAAGTGGTTGTTCCTCAAAAGTGGCACTTAAACAACAACATTGACAAGTTCCAAAGCATACAATGTACAAAAACTACAAAATAAATACACCTTAATATATATTTTAAACCAATTTCTTCTGGTTCTGCAATAAAATAGGCTCACAAAGCATATTTAAACATCAACCTTGGCACTTTTAATATTAAAATAAGCTTGTTCTTCTCCTATCAACAGCATCTGAACACAAGTCATGCAGCAAGTGAAAAATAAACGGTTTGGTTTATCAATTTGCATGACACAGAAGCACGGATACAGTCTTCACACAAAGAACTGCCAACTGAAAGAACAAAGACAGCTCAATAAGACGCAGCCGTCAACTATTTTTAGGTGGCGGTACCCAAACCTCCATTCTGAAGCCCTTATCCAGCCTCGTCTCTGACCCTGCAGTCTGCTAATGATGGTAAATTTTGCTCCATGGCTCATTAAAGGAACATTCCTGCAGCCAGCCTTGCCGTCTGACATGAGTTGGGAGATGATGTCCCCGAAAAGAAAACCGACCTATGCTCATTACATCTGCAAACCAAAGAGACAAAGGGAAAAATATTCAGGCATCGCCAATGTCTCTCCATTTAATGCTTATGGGTTGTTTAGCTGGGAGTCACTGCATTGCAGCTGGATTTACTCTTGTTTAAATGTGGCCTGATGTGTAGCTGAGCAACAAACAAAACAAAAAGAAACTGTCAGAGACATCCTAAACGTGCATCAGCAGAGCTATCAAGATGTTGTGTGCTCTGGACGATCAAACGATTTTAATGATGCCTCTCAATGTTTGCAATATGCAGCCACCCTAGACTCCTTTTGAGGCTTTGATCATCACCACTAACTGGAAAAGTCAGCTATTCAAACGCTGCGCTTTGTTTACCACCTTACCTCACACCATCACTGGATTGTGTCATTTAACCACGTGCTCTGACACAGAAACCATGTGAGAGCCATTTACTTGTTTGTAAGGATGCAGTGAATACTGGTCTACACATTTTTTAATCTTGACAAGGAGTAATAAAAATAATCCACACCCAAAGCCGAGGGGTATGACAAAATAATTGGAGAGTTGAGCATGGAGTAAATGTCTGGGGGGACCTCTGGCTCTCCAGCGAGGTCGGCCTCATCATAAGACATGTCGTTAATTAACGCTGCGCTTTGCAAGAAGATTTAGTGAGAGCAGACTGAGATGAAAAACAAAGCTTGGGAGGCTTAGATATCTGTGTGAAAATAAATCAGCAATCCATTGATAATAAATGTCACCGTTGAGTTGTAATTTGTGACCTAAGTCATTAAGAGGAGCTTAATTTCTACACGTGAAGCCTGACTGCTTGTTATCATTTCCTCTTATTTAGATAACACAAGGATTCTGGGGAACTGTGCATCAGCATGAGGTGATACAGTGCTCGTGTGAATGAGACAACCATTAGGTTTAGAGACTGGGAGTTTTTAAACCTAAACATTTTCTCAAATTATAAACAGCTGTCACATCTGCAAATTGTTAATAAAACAAGTGGATGTATATTCAATCCATTGCAATGAACGCTTTGCTTTTCGTATTTACACTAACCATGGATTCTGTGTTCCACAATCTATGTCTTAAAGTGCTTGTTTGGCACAGTGTCTCTGTAGAAGATGTGTTTGTAAAATATAAAACCTATTAACTTTGGATGCTCTCAGTGCATTTGATGCTCCACAGTCTGTCCTTCTGTGCTGCCGCCTCATGCAGCTCAGCAGTGGATTCAGACTCAGCGGAGTCTCGTTTTTTTTTGCTCTTTAGATCCATTGTGTCGCACAGCACCCAGAAGACGCAGGCAGAGCCTCCATGTTTGCACTGAGAAAAAGGGCTGAAACTTTTCCTGGCTCAAGATTCAGCTTAGTGTACATGAACTCCACAAAGCACTTCAAAATTACATTTAAAGTGCATCAAAAATTGGTAATACTGCTAAAGATCCCATAAATTGTGCTATCATTTTGTGGTAGAATACTTTTTCATTTATGTAAGAGATCTACATAATTTCTCAGCTTATTTCCCTTTGTATTTTTACTAAAATATGAATGCTGCACATGCTCTACAACCTGCTATTTCAAAGTTTCATACCATATGTAAATGACAATATGTATTGCTGAGTTGAGCATCCACTCAAATTAAATAAGACAAGTAGATATGTAGTCATTAATAATTCATATTGAACTGTTTGATAAATTAGTATACAAACCAAGCATCTCTAAATACCATTTCTATCACTATCTATATCAAATAACGATTAGTTTACTATTTCTGACTGATGGGTGGTGTAAAGTATTATCTCTCTGTGGGTATTAAAAGTATATTATTATGTTGTATTTCTTTGTTTAGTTTTTTTTTTTTTTTCATTTTGAAAATTCCATTTCAGTTCCTGCTAACTGGCCAGCCCCTTACACATCTAATGTTTTCTTGTGTTTAAGCTGTCGCTGTCTTTGTTCTGAAAGCCATTCCGCTGCCTCCCCAGTGTCATTCCAACAGACACCAACTCTACCACCTTGGACTAGCCGGAGCTGGAGCCGGAGATAATGGCCCTTATTGTGTACTCGGCTCGAGTGGTCGGCTGCAGGGTGGAAGGCCACTCAAACTGAGTCATCCAGCAGCCGCAACTCTACCACAAACGCATACAGGATGCAGCCCTTGCTGCTGTCTGCTGTGCATTCAGTCCACAGAACGAGTGGCTCACTCGGGAAACAGCTAAAGGGTATCAAGTATCACCATAGCATCCACGTGGCCAGTAAACAAAGGATGACACTACTTGGTTGGCAGTGATTGCAGTTCGGAAATAAAATACTTTTATACATCGGCTGTAAGTTTTTTTTTAAGTGTACACCACTTAACATGGCTCACCATGTCCATTTCCATCAATATTCATAATGGATGAAAGTCATGTTTTAAAAATGCATAGGCCATCTGTGCACTTCTCTGCGCAAACAAACTTTGGCTAGCTGCCCTCTCGTCTAAATCCACTTCTGACATATATTCATATACCCATGTTGCTAGAGTTTTTAGATCAGATAACTTTCTATGGATGAGATCTCAGCACTGTTTTTTGGATCGGATGACAGGCTTGACTGCACATGATTCTCTGGGCAATATATCGGTGAGGTAGATGGCACTTTTTTTCTGTCACGTGGTCGGCCCTTCAGGGATTTTCTCTCATTTTCATTTGTTTTGTGCTGAACAAATTTGGGAATTCAGGTAGCACAAGGGTTGAAAAAGCTGGAATGTCTAAACGTGGACTTCTCAAAAACGCCGACATAAGCAATGTAGATAAGACTACTGAGTCCACAACATTGAGTCACGTGACAGGCACCGAGTAAAAACGCGCCCCCCCCCCCTCCCCTGCAGGAGAACCGCATGTCTCTACACAGAGCTCTCGTCCGGCCTGGGCAACAGCTGAGTGTGTTTCCTCTTCTCGAGGATCCTGTTGAGCTCCTCCGCAAAGGAGGAGCAGAGCGGCGAGGTGTTCTCAGAGTCACTCTGCCTCAGCAGGACATAGCTGTTCCCGTTCATCCTCCTCAGGACGGTGGGCAATGTGGCGGACAGCCCGCTGGGGAAGTCACACTCTGGAGAGGGGATATTAGGGGCGGGAGGGAGGGGGGGGGCTGCGGGCGGAGGCTCCTTCTTCGTGGACGTCTCGCCCTCTCCGGGGACAATCTGCAGAAAGCCTCCCTCCTCTATGCCGCCGTTATGTAGCTTTGAGCCTCCGTTGCAGACGCCGTTGCCGTTACAGTGACTGGAGATGGTCTTTAGCTCCATGTGGGAGGAGTTCCGGTGATGTTTTCTGCTCCTGCTTCTCTTGCTGCTCGGGTATGCTGCGGCAGCAGCACGCAAAGAGTACTTCCCTCTGTTGCCCACTCGCAAACAAAAGCCCACATAGGTGAGCACGACGGCGAGCACCACACACAATCCTCCCAGGATGGTGACGAGGGACAGGTACACGGTCTCCATGTTCCTGGGGGACAGTCGCTCTGAGTGGGTGGGGGGTAACGGGGGTGCCTGAGATGAGGGATGCTCAGGTGGTGGGGCTAGACGGGTGGTGGACAGCCTGTGACCTGGTTCCACTGGAGGGGGAGGGGGCTGGCCAAGGCTGATGGTCACGTTGTAGGCCACCACGGCCACCCTGATGCCGTTCTCCACAGCGTGACAGGTGTAGAGGCCGCTCTTCTCCTGCCGAGCCTCGATGATCAGCAGGCCGTCCGTGCCGGTTCTGAAACCGGAGTTCAGGTCGTAGCCCTGCACCTCCTCGCCATCCAGTGTCCACAGGGGCGTTGCCAGGTTGGAACTGAGCTCACACTGCAGCAGGACGTCATCGCCCACCCGCACACTGCGGCTCCGCTGGACAACATCTGAAACGGCAGCGAACCCGGGTCTGATTTCACAAATAAAGCGAAGAGTTCTGAGAGTGATTCATCTCACATACTAACGACTTGGTTCTATTGGATATGTCAAAAGCTGCACGGATTTTCTGATGCATCAAGTCAAATGATAGATTCTCTAAATCCAGTCATCTTGTTACCTTGGGCACAGGCAGAACAAGAAAGCAAAAGATGCAACATTTTACCAGATTGAAACTGAAAAGCAGGGAGAAGGCATTTGCCTGCCTTGAATATCAATCAGAGTCTCTCCAGAGATGGCAAAGATGTGATTAAAGTAGGGGGGAGAGGATTTTACCAGCACAGTATGCATAATAAACTTCCAAAGAGCCCTTCATGCCATCTGATGACAAGTGTGGATCTTTTGGGCCTTGTATTCTTCTATTTATAATAATCCTTCAAAATATTAAAATCTGTTTTTTTCCTAAGTGCCTGCAATGGGCAGCAGATGAGATTTCTGCTTACTGTATTGTGCTTCTTCACATCCTATCCTCCCTTGCTGGATGTCTTGGATCAAAGAGGATCTGTGAAGAGAAACAAAAATAAATACAACTATGAGCATAATAATGCACGGAGTAACCAGTGGAAGGGAACTCTTTATTCCTATTCCTGCTCCAGTCAGATCTATTCATATCTGTGTCTTTCTGTGCTCCCACAGCTGCATTCTCCTGACTAAGCTTAAGTGTCCAGATTAATCAGAACATTCCAAGCAACTTGCTGGACATTGTGTTTACTCTCACAGCCAGTGTCAGGTTGCTGCCAGCATTGTGATTATGCAATTCTCCTGGGAGCTGACATTGTGACACGGCACGGTGGTGCTTCAGGTGACTGAGATTAAACAAACAGCAGGGCACCTGCAGCATTTTGATAACCTGATCAACCTGAAAACACACACAAACCCACGCTCACAATCTTTAACACCAACCTGTCTGACCGTGCGGTTACATCTGTACATGTGGCTCCATTCCAGGCACAGTGTGGGTCCCTGGCAAAGATACAGTCGTAGCAGGAAGTGTACCTGCTACAATTAGAGAGCGGCAGCTGGACCATGCCTGACGGAGAGCCCGCATACACACTCATCTAGGTGAAAGAAATCATTTCAGGAGTTTAGCAATAATCGTGGGCTCTGTGTGTGAGCGCGTTGGACAGAACACACTACCTGCTTTGTGGATATCTGCAGACTGGTGACAGGTTGGGGTTCATCAAACAGCTGCAGCTCCTCAATGATGAGCAGCTGACCGTTGACTTCCACAGCTTTGTGTAACCAGCCCTCATCTGGATGAGCAAGCAAAGACAAAAACAGTTCTTTACTGAACATATAAGAAAATTCTTGGTCATTACTAGGCTGTACAGATTATATAGTTACTTTCATAAAACTGTTCTATTGAGCCTGCACACTGTTTGAACAGGTATGCACACTAAATGAACAGCAGAGTTGCCAGGTTGGGGGGCTTCTTGTTGAACAGTAGATGCCTATTTGGATTTGTTCTAAGTTATCTTTTTGCCTGTTTAAACAAACATAGTTTGACAGCAGAATCTGTCATACCACCACCCCCTCTGCACCTTATCTACCTCTTTACCAGTATCTATGACACAGTGTCTGAACACATACCTGTCCCCATGTATAAAACGTGGTACATTTGTCCATCTAAACCCTGGACCACGTGTGCTGCCATATGCGTGTAGTCCGTTGTCCTCCTGAACAAAAGTGGACGTCTATCTAATGGCTCGACTTGTTGGGACATCAAAGGGTGGCGTCTGACAAAATCCAGCACATCATCAGGCAGGGAGGTGGAGATGTCTATGCCCCTGGCTCTAAGAGTGTCAGTTATACACTGTTGAAAAAAAACAAAACAAAAGGCAGGGATGATGAGGAAGACATGTGAGTCTGGTATTCTGTATCATTTCCCCTCCATATACTCATGAACAACTAGCTTTAGATCCTTTAGATCTTCTCTCTGTCAGAGGTTTTTCTCTCTGAATCCTTGGAAGAGTTTGGCCACAGGGCATCGCTTGTGCTTACCGTTCCAGGCCGTGGATCAGGGATCTTTCCCGTGTATTCTTTCCACTTTGAGTCAGAGTCCTTGTTCTCCATGTAAGGTCCTTCAAAGGCCTCTTGGACTTCAGGCAGAGAGAACCGACACACTGCAGATGCCTTCACGTTTTTCCTTTAGACATCAAGTCAAAGAGTGAGAAAGCCCAGAGTACAAGCCAGGAGCAACAACAATGGTAAACCCAGGGTTGCCATAGAGACAGAAGTAGAGGTAGGGCAGTAGCTAACCTAGTCAAAATGATGGGGAGGAACAAATCGGTGCAAAAACCAAGAGGAGGGGGAGGGACTGTAAGTAAAGGTTTATGTCTGCGAAAAAAAGGAGTGCTGGAGCTGTGTGGTAGAGGCTGAGGCAAGAGATAAAAGAGAGAAGCCGAGAAAGTGAAGGTAGCATCCATACATAAGGAACAATCTAAGCGTAATCACCGATATGTATTGCAAGCCAAAAAGTAGTATGACACACTTAAAGAAAAAAACTTTTTCCTATTTAAAGTAAGCAATGTTTTGCCGTGACTACACACCTTCTCTTGGCTTGCTGGTGGAAGTCTCCCAATGACAAAAAAAGCTGTGTCCTGTGCAGGGACACCCCTAAACCCACCTCAAATCAAACTCACTGCTTGTTTCTGCCCTCTTGGACATGTGGATAGGGCAGAGCTTCAGGGGGAAGACTGCATTTTAACATTCTGCCTCCCCTCTTTTCAGACTCCCTCCCTCTGCTGCTTTAATTATTCAGTCACTTAAGCAGCAGCCACACTGAGCCTTAACAAGGTTACCAGCCTTACCGTGCTGATAGGTATTATTGACCACATTCTTTATAAAACAAGAGCCTTGTAAAGAGCAACAGCTGCTCTTCGTGCTTTCCCAGCAAGCCTACGGCTAAATAAGTACATGTTGTAGTATTAAACTACAAGCCGTCACCATAGAAATAAAAGCTTTCAATAAATTCACGTGTGATCTTTATTAGAACCTTTTAAAGACACCGTAAAGGTAATTAATTATGACTCCTGAAGTGTCTATAAAAGTCCCCCTGCCAACATCTGCTCATCAAATCAATAGGACAATGAAGTTATTTGGGCTTTGTTTCTCCCCTCCCTTTCATCTCCTTCCCTTCTTTCTTCTTCAGTTGCTTCAATATATGGATCGCTTTCATGTTTGTCCCCCTCATCAACATTTGCAAACACAAAGCCCTCGGCAACATCGCAACGGGTTTCGTTTGTGCACTCACCACTCCAGGCCGAAGATTCCATAGAAGAGAGTGTCCCGAGGCGTGAGGCCGGGCATAGTGAACACGCTGCGCAGCACATTAAAGTGGAAGTCATATTCAGGCAGGGAGCAAGACAACCTGGTCTTCAGGAAGGATGTCCACCGCTTCTGGAGAGTTAAATGACCTCCTCTGTCTCCCTGGGGGAAGCAGAAGGAGGAACAAATGAGAGGTGGAGGAGGGAGAGGAGAGTCATATGAGGTAAGGTTATGAAAAGCAAACGATTGAACACTTGGCCAAGGGTCACGCAGCAGAGGAGGCAGACCCCCTGAAATGCATAACAGATGGTACGGGGCGGCATAGAAGGATTAAACCAGTTTGGGCCCTCCTCTAAATTTCTACACCAAGGTTGGTTATTGGTCACTCATGGATGTGACAGCCCCAACTACAACCCCTGCAGACACATGTTAACACCCATTCCGGATTTTTGGCGATGTCCCACATGGCATAGAACATTTTTTTAATGACAAAACCAAAATTAAAACCAAATAAATAAATTAAATAAAATAAAACAGGGCATCAAAGTGTGCAGTAGGTTCTTGCTGTGAATATATCATTTTCAAGGTAGCAAGAAATGTATATAAAACCCGATTTAGTCAACCTGAGATGTGAAAGAGTCCTCCAACCCGTCCCCCCGTGAGCCACTCTGCAACCAATTGATCAGCTACAGTCTGCGCCGCTAATTAAACACAGATCATTTTCCAAATGCATTCCACCTCCAGCTACTCATCCATCACAGGACATCTGAGTGCCATTAGCTCAATTGACTGGAAGGTTTCGGTCTCACCTTACAAACCCGGGCAACGCGCGTCACCCTGCTGTGACTGTACGCTGCGGCCTGCTCCTGGCTCTTCTCGGTGAAGAAAAAGTAGATTTTATCGTCCTCCCCGGTGTTGCCGTCCAAACTCTCTCTAACGAGCGCCGATCCCACAAAGTGTGCGTCTGCAAGTTGGAAAAGAGACCCGGTTGCTCAAAATGTTTACATCCAAGGGTCATTTCAGTGCCACACATGTTGTGGCATGCGCCCAAGAGTGAAGACAGATGCTTTAAAATAAGGAATTTTAGAGAGGGTGGATAATGTTGAGGCTTGACATCGTGCTAAAAGGTTGTTTGATTAAATCCATTGATCACTTTCACCATCCTGCCACACAAACATGCTTAAGTGCTCTTATCATGCCAAGAGATTATCTGACCATTCAGCCAGCGTGTGGGAGCATCCTCAGTCTTCAGAGTAGGAGATGGGGAGTTACGCCGGATATCTGGAAAGCTCCGGAATTCATACTGAGTAGCTGTAAACATCTGCTGGTCTGAGGGGAAAACAACATCGTGAGTCATTTAGCTGTTAAGACAAATTCTGGAAGTAGCTGGGCTGTTTAAGGCGTCTTACCTATAATGAGAGCAGTGTAACCTGTTGTTGGCCCGTAAGGACATTTGTCCCTGCCTTCCTCGGGCTCTGATGACATTACAAATCTCTCCTCATTCTTTACAGCAGTAATGAGAAGAAAAAATACATTATTTCATGCTGAAACCACAATTACAAATATATATAAGACAGGAGAATCAAAGCAGACACAAGGAAACCTGAACTTTTATTCAGAAAAGGCAAGACTTAAACAGACAGTACTGTAAAAAGGAAGGTGTGTGTAATACATAAACATACTATGTAAGCACAGAGGGGTCTGAAGGCATAAGTCCCACACATGTAGAGATGAGTTGAGTTAAATCTCTGCAGGAAGCGGATGTGATTAAAACACTCCGTCTGAAAGCAAAAAGAAAGTGTACAACATTCATGGAGGAAACAACAGAAGACATTGGTGAGAAATAAACACAGCAAGGTTAAGAGAAATAATAATAAAAGGACGGCGGGTGAAAAGACGACTAAATGCCTACCCTGTTGTCTTTTCCTTTCAGCAGGCACTCGTGTTTCTGTTCAGGGGAGGCCTCCCACTCAATCTATATAGGAGCAGAAAGCATTCAATAAGAAAGAAGCAGTGTTGGATGGTTTCTGGTGCAGTTCATAACTGCATATCTTGTGGAAGATACAGCAATAGTATGATCCATCTTTGTGCTATAAAAAAATGTCTTTCAGAGTTTTGAGGAATTTATTCCTTTGATGAACTGCAGGATGTTTTTTTTTAAAACTCTTAGTCAAGAAAAGCTTAAGTAAGAGGTCAATAAAGAGCCAGAGGAGTGGCTGAAAGCACTTACATGCACACCATACCTTTTGGCAGACACATCCGCCACGTCTATATAATCAGCAAAATGGCTCATTGTCAGGCTGTCACCAGGTGACATATCAAAGTCGCTTGACACGTGAGGCACGTTTTACAGTTTGTTAAACTGAAGCTTGTCTTGCTGTGTACACTGTTAGATTTGTGCTGTCGATGTTAACCCTATAATGACATATGTATCTAAATTGATACATACAGTTTGTGAAATTTTTTGTGTTTGAGACATTTTGCACCTTTTAATGGTAAGAACTTTGCCCAAAACCCTGTTGTACACAATCAGATATACCTGGTAACAGCAGGCAGAGAACTATAAAGCAATCATTTTTTACCTATTGCACATAAATAAATGATCAATACATTTAAAATATCTTTTTTTTTACATTTTGTTAAAGGGCCAAACAAAGACTTCAAACATAAAAAATATAAAAAAGAATTTTCTCTCTATTTTTTCTTGGAGCATGCTTTAAACGGTTAAGGACATAATTAGTAAACAGGTAACATTGCTCCTGATTTCAGCTCCGCATGCTGACAGCTATTGTTACTTTTAAGATAATGCTGGGAGCAGGGAACACAACATCAGCACATTGCCAACCACAGACATGGCTATAATGAAATTTTAATGTTCTTTTATGAAGCGAGGAGGGGAAGCTATCCAAGAAAACAAACACTGTGCTTTCTCCTGAGAATGCTGCACTTCGACTTCCATAGATTTCATGAGGACGATAAACATATATCGCTGCACACACCATCTCAGTTCAGTTCAGGGGGCGATGAACTAAGTAGTAATGTTACGCAACATATGAATAAAAGTATATACATGGTTATGATTATGAGCATTTTAAAGTTTACATTTAACAATTTTACCCAATCTGATAAGTGGACTAAAGTGGCAAACCCAAGCTACTAAACTACCTCCTTGCCAACATATTGATGATAATATGAATTATGTATCCATTCATTAGACAATTATTCATTTAGCTGATAATTACTGTGTTGAAAAAACACTATAGCCATTTATAGACATCCAAAATTTCCTGGATTAGAAATGCAAATAAAGTCATTACAGTTTTCAATAAACATAGTAGGCCAGGCACACAACTGGAAGGACCACACAATCAAACAGACTCACTGTGCGAGTAGAGTTAGATGAGATGTCAGAGGCGTTGAGAGCAAATACAGCCCCCCGGGCCCCGACGTAGAGACGCCCGCTGTCCTCCTCCAGCAGCACAGTGCTGTAGTTGACTGCAGAAGACCGAAAACGCCTTCCCTGGAGACCTGAGCAAAGGAGAGGAGAGGTTTATAAAGGTATTTTGTAACCTTCTGACTTGGCTAAATATACAGAACAGTTCCCAATGTCCCAAAAAGAAATATATCACAACCGTCTATATGGCGGTCCTGTGGGATGCAACTCAGATTGGGGTGAGCAGTACGACGGTCAGTGTAACTTTACATCTAAGAAAATAAATGGCATTTAACCCTGTTTTGTCTTTCCTCTGATTACGCCAGCAGAACCATGCACTGTGGGATATTGGACAATACAACAGCTTAAAGAGCCAGGCTCTCTTTCGTCTGGTTTCACACATTACTACCTGGGAATATCTCAGCACACTTTCCATTGCAGCTATTGATTGTGGTCTATCTCTATGGGAACACATTTTCAGTTTAAAAATAACACTTTTAAGAAAAAAAGGCATCCTCTATAAACAATGCAATTTTCAGGTTAAGCCCTGAAGTGGACTGGATACATCTAAATATACTTACTGTCTTCTCGGCATTTTAGAAGACCACAAATAATGAAGAATTATTCACAAAGTAATGGATCCTTTGTTCCCTAATATATCTCCCTGATATGACTTTAGAAAGTCAGAGCGCAATGTGGGCTTTTTAAAGGCTCAAAAGCGAGTGCTTTTTCCATAAGATCTGACAGGAGAAGAAAAGGTGAGACAGCATTTCATCTTCGTGAGATGGATTTTCTGCAGCAAGATTTCTTTGGTGCTAAGAAGTGAGAGGGCCTTTTTTCAGATTCCAAAGACTAACAATTGAGATCCCTTTTTAGACTGCTGAATGAGAAACCCTTTATGACACCCCCTGCTCTTTGTAATGGCACAGAAAACCTGGCTGTGCAGTTCTTTATGTAAAGTAAAAAAAGAAGACAAATATACATACTACAAGTATACATTTATCAAGGTGTAAGCGTTGGGAAAAATTAGCTTAGAAAAATGAATCAGTCATCAGAGCTAAAGCAATCCTGCTTGCTCACACTTACACCTCGACTCAATCTAAAAACACCACTTAACCCTGGCACAGTGGAAGAACAACTACTTCCCCTGAAACAATAATGATTTGGTGTTCATATATGAGTCCCTCCACAACTGTTTATTTTCTTTTTAAGTTGCACATCCATATTAAGTCATTTCGGTGTCGTGCATCTTCCTCTATCGATCCAAACACCGGGCTTTCTCCCTCACCACGCTTTTGGCCTTCCACGTTCCCCCGGCCTGACCAGCAGCTCTATCTTCAGCATCCCCTCTTTAAACACACCCAGCATCCCTCCTCTGCTCATGTCCAAATCAATCTGTCCACATTAGCGGGTTCCCAAACCGTCCAACCTGGACCATCTCTCTGATACATTCACTCCTGATCCTGTCTACACTCAAAGTGAATTTTAGCATTTTCAATTCAGCTGCACAGGTTTCAGTAACACTCCCCAAGCCCCAAAGCATAGCTAGTCTCAGAAAACATTTAAAGGAAACGTAGTCGTCCCACCCACCCCCACCACCCATTATTACTCTGATTATATTTTATTTACAGTTGATCTGTTTGGACATTGAATTTAATTGCCAAACGTAGACTATGAAAGGGGCATGCTTGTCTTAAACAGCTCTACTGAGGAAGAAGGGCGTCATGAAACACATCAGATGTCAGACCTCAGCTACTTTCTGTGGATTCTATGCTGCGGTGTGCTACTGTTTTGCGTGATTCTCCCCTGTCCAGTTCTCCAGGCTATATTGGGATGCATCTGTTTGACACGTCAAAACGCTAATGAGGTTCAGTCACATTCTCAGCAAGGAGACAGCAAGGTGTGTACGTGTGCACACATACAGACACAAACAATATATGTCACAACAGTCCTTGCAGCCGTCACGGGAAGCCGGAGATCTGTACAAGTTCCAGGCACATCATGGCTCAGGAGTCCACTGGTGTAAGCATTGCAGCACTACCAAAACACGCGAAAGCAAACTCTGTTGGTCTGGTAAAATGTGCACAGCCCCGCAGTGCTGTAGAGATGAGTTAATGTTTAATTAACTGATGCTGAGCAGGTTTTATTATATGCTTCGGTGTGATTCTGACAGCAATTATGGCGCATGAATGCAAAAAAAGGAAGCCCCTTCCTGTGCCCGCCAATTAGCACTGGAGTCAAAAAGCATGGTGTCAGACTTCCTGCATTTGCAGTTCATTCACTTCCCCCTGAAGACAGCATGGTTATCAAGCAAGCTGTCATTAAGATTCTTATCAGATGCTGTGAAATACAATCCACTCCGCTCAGAAGAGGAGCAGCACCAGTAGTCAGCTCCCATCCCAAGCTACTCTTTGACTCTCAGGTATCTACTCTCTGCCTTATTCTCAACTAAAAGACAAAGAGTTTGACTTTGGTGGTGGGTTTCATCTACGCAGTATGAGTTCCTCGTATAGGTGAAGAGAATACATTCAAGTCGAGACAAAGGCTAGATTTTCCCTGAGTACTCCAGGTATTAAGGAACCCGGAATATCTCAGCCAGGTGTGTGTGTGTGTGTGTATGTGTGTGCGTGTGTGAAGGCCTAACAGCTGGAGCTGGGTAACTCAATACAGCCTAGATGAGAGTGTGACAGAGCAGAGGTAGGTTGATTTGGGATGTATTACAATGTAACTATGCCTCGGAGCATATTTTTACCTCAGCTCACAAGATCCTGCAAAAAAAGGCAAGTATGGGTTGGTCTGCAGGCACAGAAGAGGTGCTAGTGAGGCACAGAGACAAGTCCAGATTATATTTATTGAGCAAACACTTAGAGAAACGGACCTCACCTGATCAGAAGAGTACACTATGTTCAGGGACAAACACGCACGCACGTAGTTGTTGAACTTTAAGGCTCTGAACTGTGACGTAACAACAGCCATCAGGTTTGTTTACAGTTCACAGAATTTGATGTGCAAATGTGAATTGGCAGTCTACCGGTGCAAGATAAATTCTGATGACACCTGACAGGTGGAAATCTGAGAGTGCACCCCTCTGAAATCCTTTAGCTAAAAATTGAAGACAAGTTGCAATATGCCTCTGCCTGTAAAATGTGGTCTACCAGCTCAAGGTTGCAAATTGAACTGCTATTTAGTTGCTAAGGAACACAGAGATTAAATGGATTAGATGGACATTTGCATATTGAAATAATTTCATCAGGGAAATGGAAACAAAAGAAACAAAGATAAGTTTAAAGCAAGATAAAGAAAAGAAAGAAGGCAGAGCAACTGTTAAAAGCACAAAAAACATGGTGAATGTTACAGATCAGAAAAACCTGTCTGATGATATCAGCATCTGATCAATCATAGAAAACTGAGATTATGTTACGCACAGCTTTTTCTTATATATTTTTTTCAACATCAGAAACACGCTCTCCTAAAATTTGGACTTAGATCTAACTGAGAAATTTTCATTCACACCTCCGTGTATCAGTTCTGCTTAAAGGTTAAACACTTTCCAACAAATATACAAAAGAAAAGTACAGCATAAAAGTGTCTTCCACCACACTACAACAGTTGTCATGGTTACACTGCTTCTCTACCATCTACAATGGTGTCAGACCTCCTGGATGCTCATTGGGGATCCAAGTAAACGCCTCTGCCTCTGCATCACCTCAGGCTGCATGCCATCACTCACATAGTGATAAGAAAATACTAATCAAATCAATTAAAAATGTTTACCGTTAACAGATTAGGCTGCAAGTAGTACATGTTTATGTTTATTCGTTTAGCTGGCGACTTACAAAGTAGCACATGCCAAGAGAGGTGAACAGAACAGTTTTATGGTTAGAAACAGATGGAAATGGGTCAAATAAAAATGGTGGGCATCTGTTAAGACATTGCTGTCTGTTGTTAGGTCACTGAAAGAGTGAATGATCTCCACAAGGAATCACGTTAATGATCAAACATTTTTTTTCAAATAGCCTTATCTGATCAATCTTTTTACTTTACAAAGTTCATTCACTTGTTAGGGAAGTATAAATGAAGCAAATTGTAAGCATTATATGCATTTCCAAGACTCAAATCACATTAGCAAAACAATGAACTATCAGGTAGTTATTTCCTCAGCCTGTTATGGCAGATAACACTAAGCGTGCAGATAAGTTCCAGTTCCACAAGACCAAGAGAACTAAGTGACGGAACTTTAACATTATCGACTGGTAACGTAAACCCAGAATGCTCTTGAGTGGTAGTGCTAAGCTCGGCTTAGTAGAGCCATGAAAAGCACTCAGAGGAAAGCTTCACTGAAACCTTGTGGGCTTGTGCGGGAGTCAAATACCACGTGGTGAGTCTAAATGTACTTTCTTTTTTTAGTTGGAGACTGTGAGCATCTCTGTGTCTGTGAGCATCTCTGTGTTGGAATGGTGAGGGACCCGGGGAGTGCTTACCACTGCTCAGCACGGTGACACGCGGAGTCACATCCAGGTCCTGGGGCGTTCGGAACGGGAAGCCAGCCGTGGCTGCACACAGGCAGCTCAGCAGCAGGAGGTGCGCCGAAGACTGAGCTCCCTGCATCTCCGCCGAGTGCCTCTTCAGACAGACCCCCTCCGGCCGATACAGACGTGTACGAAGATACACTCACGCTGACATATTCACCACACACACCCCTTTGCAGGAACACACACACACAGCGGATGGCTTACTGCTCTCTACAGAGGTGTGTGTGTGTGCGGGGGGTATGAGAAACCTGGAAGATAAAACACACACGCAGAGCGTACATTGTAAATAATCTTAGAAAAGCCAGGGGAAGTTGAGAAGCACAGAAAGTTTGTGGGTTCAAACATGTTAAAAGACCTGACGAAGAGGATTTTGCAGGGATGACGAAGACGTGAAAGAGATACAAAGCCTCTTCGCTCCGTGAGATATCTGATCAGAGCGTGGAGCTGAAAGCAGCGCTGAGCAAACCACGAGCAAACTCTTGAGGATTGAACTGCATTGTGCAGCAATCCTGATCAATAAGGTTTCAAAAGAGGCCCGAGCACTGACAGGAAAAACCAAACCAAGGCCTGGAAAAAATGTGCAACATGATCATCTCTGCTACGTGTGTATGAGCTGTGATAAGAATGCCAATGGACCCTCTTCTGGGGGAGTGAAAGGAGCGGCGGCGAGAGCAGGTATGAGAGTGTTGGTGTGTGACTCTCATGCACCGGTGCACACACCAACACTCTGAGTACATTGATAGACACTCCGTGGAGCATCGCCAGCCGTGTCCAATTTTATTCGCGGTGATGGCAACATCTCTTTTTGGTTTGAACTCTTTTCCTGTCTCACACACACACACTAGGGCTCTCCAAATGCTTTCCCGGCTCTAAATGTAAACAGTCACACTATTAAGCCCTTTCCATCCAACACAGCCTCAAGCTTCCAGCAGCCTTCACACCTGAGTGTGCAGGAATCCTGTTTCTTCTCGTAGAAGTGCACACACGGCCGTATATGTAGCACAACTCCTCTCGTGTTCAATAAAGGATGCAACAGAAAGAAGGAGAAAACTGGTTGAAGGTTGAGGCTATCGGCAAAAAAGTCGCAGCCGAACACCCATAGAAAGTCTAAGCAGTCCCTCAAGGCTACCGCCATGACAACGGCGGGCTTTAAGGTAGCGCAACATGACAGAGGAACATGGCAGCATGCAGATGTACAGTGAGCCAGAGAAACCCACGCTTTGAAAGCTGGATAACATGAATTGCATCGTAAGGATCCGCTCAGTCCCAGTGGCTGCAGCTTTACATGTCAGACCTTCCAAAAATGATTATTGACAGGAAAACTATCAAACAGGTGGCACACCTACTACTTTTTCTTAAATGAAGTCAGTCAGCTCGGTCTTTGTAGTGAAAGATTTCTCTGTAAATGACCATTTCTATCTGAAATCTGAGGAAAAAAACCCTGGAAATGACATGACAAAATCAAGGGTGCTTTTTTCCAAGAGCTCTCAAACTGGGAAAGTAAAAGATTGCCGACATGTTGCAAATCTACTTTGGGGATTAAAACCACTTCAGCCGTGCTTCCCCCTCTGAGGATGTACACTTTCATGTGGGCCAACTCCCCAGCCGGTGTTTTCTGAGCTCATCTTTAAAGGTGGCAGAGGAGGTGCGCAGAGGAGCGATTTCATAAGCCTTTATCTGACTCAATCTCACTCAAAAGGGCTGTCATGGTCTAAATCCTTTTAAGCAATCAAGGAGCCACACAGCCCTGATGGGGTCTTATAATGATTAGAGGAAGAGGACCCTGTTCACATGGAAATGAAACAGCACCACGCAATGCGAGAAAGGGGGGAGAGGGCGGGCGGGGGGTACAACTCGATTGTCAAGTCCAGCAGTGCCAGTAATTGTCACACTCCCACTTCTCTGTCACCTAAAATCAATTCTTCCTGACTTGCCGGTGGTTCCTTGAACCCCCTGGATCCAGAGGCCCTCCGCTGTTAATTAGCTGCTGAGCACACAAGCCAAAGTGTTGGGAAATTAGAAAAAGGTGCGGATGTTAGAAATAAAATGAGGCGGACCCAGAGGAAATCACACCGCTCACAGTCTGTCTTTCCCTGATCTCCCCGCCAGCTCTCCGTCCCATGGCATTCATTCACAGAAATGGATTTTATTAAGCAATTATACAGTGTGTGAAAACCTGGCTGAATAGAAGGGGTCGGAGCACGGCGCTGACAGCTCCATTACCAACGTGTCCCGAAGGACTCCGACACCCTTGTTTTTGAGTTTTATTTATGTGTCCCAGTGACAAATGGTAGAAAAGATTCCAGTCAAAGCCATTGAGCTTAACTTCAACCACCAGACAGACCTCTTTAAAACACTGGTTTTTACAGCTGAACTGAGCTCTGTTTGTACCCCGAAGACTGAAGCGTTGCATTTCATGCAGTCCCTTTGTGCATGAAACACTGAGGCCTTTAAATCCACTTCCAACAATGAAAGACACAACACTGAGCGTGGTCAGTGTCTTACAGAGATGCTGTTAGCCACCAATTACAATGAAAGAGCTCATGTCTACGAGAACTTTAACAAACCAGTTCAGTTTCAGCCTTTGACGTTGCTAACATCCACTTTTATCTATATATTCAACATCATCCTAACTCCACAGGGTCTTACACAGGGTCTTACCACGATCATGGAATTCAGCTCAAACATCCATTTTTTAACTGACTAAATCTGTTCTGTGTCTATGTATATGTGTACATTTAGCTGGGAGACTTACTTGTCACACAAATCACAATCTTTCCACTGGCGCAGCAAGAAGATCCCTGTTTTCATAAATGTCACTGACAGATTCAGACCTTAAAGCACGGATGAATTCAACATAGGGGCGCAAATCGCTGAGCGTAACATCTGTATCACACAGAGGCTGTGGACCAGCTCATTGGCAGGGCTTGGTGAAGGAAAAATGGGTAAATGAAGACACCATCTCTGCAACAACATGTCCTACAAGTGTTTCCTTCTAATTACCATACAGATCACTCAAGTCCAGCCTCTTTATTGGCAGGTAGATAGACGGCTCCACTGGGTTTGCACAAGCTTTGTCTGTGCGCTTAATGATTAAATCACAGGTACAGCTCTGGACAGGAGACGGCTGGTGGCTGCCACCCTTTCAAAGATCAATCAACCCATCCATCATGTGCGTTTTTTCGAGCTTTTTGACGGTAATATCAAACTTGTGATTACATATACATAAATATATTCAAAAATATGATTCACAGCCTTCCCCTACATGATGTGTAAAGGCTTTAGAGCCATTCCCTCAGAGCAGAGCCTGGTCGTCTCTAACGCAGTGATGCAGTGAGCTTTCACCTATACAGACATTAGTCATCTTTACGCTCATTTCTGATGTTCCACCTGTCTAAACTGATCCGTTAACAGCTTGATACTCGTTAAAGACATGCTGCTACCTTTTTTGGGAAGGATAATTGAAACTCTTATGGAAGATTAATAGGATGGAATCAGTCAAGAAAATAGTACATTTCCTAAATCAGCTGAACATTATAAAGTACCACAGTTGAGCAGAATAAACATGATACAAATTAATCTATTTACTGTATCGTCGTGGAATGATCGGCGGAGTCTTACCTGTGTTCGTGGAAAAAAATCACCACTGTGGACAGGATTTTGACGTTTCCTGGACTTCGAAATGATCCCGGTGGACTTTAAACGCCTCTGTACACTCTCCAACACCCACTGAAAGCCACGCAGAGGCTGGTTCGCCGTCACAGGTGGCCCGCCCTCCCCCTGCGCTCACTTTTTCTTTCGCCAACCTCCCAGGCCCTTCATTTGCTCTTATTTCGTGGATCGGGCCTCTCGCAGCTTATTGCCCCCACTTTCCGCCTAAATACCTGAGCGTCCACAGTGCGCGCGGAGACGCGGGGATAGCAGGGAAAGTGGGGAAAAAAGGTGGAAAACGCAACCTGTCCTTCTGAGGCGTGCAGCGTGGCTCCACACCGACATCTAGCGTGGGGAAAAGGAGCCACACACAGAAGAGTGTGTGTGTGGTGGAGTCATCCAGCAGATTTAAAAGATAGATGGAAAAGATAGAGCTTGTAGCATAGAATTTGGAAAGATCACATTTTGTCTTGACAAAGGTGTCACATGCAAACATTTACACTTATAGATAAACTTTGTTATCCATGCAAATTCACAACAGAATGCCACATTTTTCTTGTTAAAAGTGTACAAAAAAGTGAAATCCACTCTTAGGATCGATGACTTTTTATATAAGATTTCACAGCAGAAGTATAACAAACAGTTTAAAAGTGGATTCTTTGAGAGAAGGAATGAAAATGTTTGTGGAGCACATCAATTATCAGTAGGCTTGTGCATTCTGTGAACCTTTGATATTAAGAAGACAAATGAATGGATGTATAGAGTCTTTAATACTGAACTTAGTAGGTATTGACATCAGTATCAACCAATTACTTTGGGTATAAAGGATATAACTGATGCTTGAAACTTTGCTGTAGGTTTTACTCCACAGACCTCTAACAATTGAGAAACAAATGTACAAGCTGCTTGATTTCCTGTATTGAACGAATATATATGAAGAATGTGTGTGTGTATATATATATATACACATACACACACATATATACACACACACACACATATATATATATACACATACACACATACATACATACACACACACACACACACACACACACATATATATATATACACACACACATACAGACGTGTAAAGTTTAGTTTTTTTTAGTATATTATTATTCCCAAAGGACAAAAACCCAAATGCTGGAAACACCCAGGAGGAACTATATTTTTAACTGCTTGTTGTGTTACACAAGACAAGAGCAAAAAAAAGAGAGTTTTGTAAGTGTGCACGTTCCCCCTGCAGGTCTCTGCAGTGCTCATAAAAAAACAGAACGCTCAAGCTGCAGATATATAAAAAAAAGAAGAAAAGATCAGATTGTGAGAAGACAGCAGCAGCTGTCAAATCGCATGTGAATGCGCCTCTCACATTAGCAGAACTTCTGATCCATAATGAATGCGTGCATCAATTATGGATGTGCTTAGGTCATGTTCAGTGGGCAGTGTGGACGTTGATCAGAACCCTTTTTATCTCTTCTCCTTATTCCAATGTGGCCCACAGATCCAGCTCCATTAACCCCACAGGGTTCCCCCACGGAGGAATCCGCTGAGGAAGTTCCCAGAAGCTCACAGAGGAATAGGGCGCATCGATGTTGCTGGTTACCATGGCAACAGCTGCACTCCAAGAAGCACTGCTGTCGTGGTTCATGGGCTGTGGATAGATTGGCTACATGATAGGATGCAGCACCTGTCTGCAAAGCGCGTCCGTCCAGCCCAAATGGACTCTGTGGATAGTGCTCTGAACACACAGGAACCATTTAAGCTCTGGCATTTGTTTGGAGTCTGAATTATGAACACGAATTATTATTTCATAAGCACATAAATTGTGTTCTTTGCCCTGTGGGTCAACTCTGACGGCTGAGGGGTTCTTCAGGGAGACAGGTATTTAAAAGCAAATTAAGTTAGTGAGGTGGGAATACTCTCATCTCTAGCTTTATCTAGAGTAAGTGTTTGTTTTTGGCCAATAAGAAACAGCTGACTCGGTTTTTTAGGCCTCTCATTTGTCCGGATATTGAATACAGCAAATGAACCAACGCAAAAAAAAAAAAAATGCCCATTTTCACACTGACAAGTTGAGCGATTGTGTTAAATAAAACTGCTGTTTGCTCATTTGTGGATCTTCTCCAAACTGAACTCAGAACGGCTGCTTCCTGTAGAAAGCAGGGAGCTAATAGGTGTCAACAATGACAGAATAGTATCGCCAACAGATGCTGACATGGTGTCGTCTTCCTTGTTTTGGGCTGACAATACTAAAAACATACATCTTCCAATAAGGTGTGACATTGGATTTGGCACAAACAGGAACACCCTATCAATTTGAATCAAATTGTGCTTTCTGTCCAGTAGATGGAGGCACTCCCACAGCAAACTTAAAAAATATATATATATGCACAACCCATAAGCCAAAAGTTGATTTAAGATTTAGGAGTAATTGCACATTTATAACAATGGATACAACTCAGTATCTGCACTTTGCTCTTAAGAAGAGTGGATGCATTTAGTAGAAAGTATTTTATTGTAAATGCTTCAGATACTACAATACAATTGTGGTTATAGTTCTGACCAAAGGGCTAAAGAAAAGGTAACAAAAATAAATACATCCGCACATATATGTGGTGAGCTGGGTATCATGATTTCTTTTTTTTTTTACTTTTAACTTATATTTTCTTGCTTTCAGAACATGATTTACTTAGACATTCTGACTTCATAATATGTTATCTCTTTTCCAATAAATGAAATAAAAACATTAAAAAAGGGGGGGAAATGCTTTAACTTTGCACTCGCTTTACTGTTCTATTAAGTAATGGTTTAAATAAATGAAAAAACAATGCATCAATTCAGATTTTTGTCAAAAAGAGTTTGAAAAATTTAGTTTTGTTGAAAATAGTTCTTTATGCAAAGTGAAGTCCTACTGCTACATCCTATTTGTGTTCTGTGCCTGAAACAGGTGCATGCACAGCCTCTGTGGCATCTCAGCCAGGCGCCTATGCAGGAAAACTGACCGGCGGTCTGGGCCTCATTGACCACAAAAGAAACTACAACAGAAAAGTCTAACCCCTTATCAATGAACCCTCCACCACTCGTTCCATTTCAGTTTGTGTTCCCAGAACGGTGGCAGCCGGGGCGGAAAATATTTTTCACCTCCGGTGCACTTTTAATGGGGCACAGTCACTCAGCACGGATGATGACAAACAAGCCGCCAAAGATTGTCATGTAACAGACTATTCTAAAAGCCTCGTCATCATCTGTGCGTTGACTTCATGCAAAGTAGACCCCAAGAGTGTGTTAGAAAATAAACAGCCCACTATATATTTTTAAAAGACTTTTGAAACTGTAAAAATCACTTTTTAGGGATAAAAATACTGCTTGTTCCATTTATGTCCCAACATCTGAGTGGATTTAATTTCAGATATAGTTTTGGATAGTAATTACGAAAGAAAAACAAAAAAGGAAAAGAAAGCTTACTATCTAAGCACATCGTGTGTCCTGGGAAAAAAAGAGGGAGAATCCCTCAGTTACTGTTACAGGAAAGTGCCAGAAATAGTTGATCCTTCATATAGTTTGGTTTGTCCTTTTCTCTTCATTTCAGCAGTGTCCTTTTCCTCTCCGGTCTGTTAAAGCCTCATAGTGACTGCATGTATTTTTCATAGTTCTTACAAACTGAACATGGCCTTTCAAGCCAGGGTTCTCTGTCTTGGTTTAATTCTGGGGTAGAGCTGTTGGAGACAGAAAGAAAATATAAGAGATTATACACACGAAAATAATTATACATAAGTAACTGCGTATATGGTTGTGGTGACTTGTAACTCACCCCAAGAAGGTTGCGAGGAATGTAACCCTCTTTGTCACCCAGGCGTGCCCACCACCAGTCTATCTCATCTTCATCTTCTCTGCGGATGATGGTCATGCAGTCTCCCTCACGGAAACACACCTCATCAGGGTTCTCACCAGCGTAGTCCCACAGACCGTAGACAACGCCCCTGTTCATGATACCCATCTTCTCTTGCACACCTGAGAAATACACTTAAAACTCAATCCCAGCCAAAAATGGTTTTGACTCATTTACTGTTCAGACAGAATGCACAACATTGAAAGCACAAAAAAAGAAAAGGCAAAAAAACTCTTACTGACCATAGAGGAACTGAGAGCACTGGGTATAGCCTTCCTCCATCTCTTCACATTTATCAGCTGCCGTCTGCATGTCGCTGTAAGTCATAGCAAAGACGGCTGCACCTGACTCCACCAGGAACTTGCAGACTTGCACATTGTTGCAGGATGCAGCACAGTGGAGTGGTGTCCTACATTAAAAGGGGTCAGCACAAAAACCAGATCAATATTAGTGGGACAGCAATTGGATAAAGGTTTTGAGCATTAACCTGAATTTAACAAACAGTTTGACAAAAGACGTTACATTCATGGCTCTCGATGAAAAAAACAACATCTGCAGTGAAGTTTCACTCACCAGCCATCACTGTCTGCTGCATTAACGTTGACGCCAAACTGAACCAGAAACTTGACAATCTCTGTGTGTCCTGCACAGACGGCATTGTGCAGAGCAGTGATTCCTTCATCGTTGGGCTGACTTGGATCCTCCACCTGTGTTTTACGGAATTGAAAGAAATTAAACATGAGGCTTGGTAGAGGCCTAATTCCTCCACATTTTAAGTATAATTCAACTACTAGATATACATGTTTTTTTAACTTCACTATATGGTAAAAAAGAAAAGTAAGAACATAACATCTTTTACCCTTCTTTAAAAATTCCTTACCTCATATATGATCCTCTGAACCAAGTCAAACTCTCCCTCCAGAGAAGAGTCTAAAAGCAGAGCCAGAGGGTTGAACTTCACCCTCATGCTGTGATCGATGCGCTCAGAACCAGGTTTGCGTAAGTTGGTCCTCTTTCCCTGAAGAAACAATTAAGATCTGGCATTACTTAAAAGAACACCCACCACAACATCATAAAAGAGAAATATGAATATCAGATGTGAGACTGATTGTGTCTCTAGTAAGACTGAGTTCTGCTGAGTCCACTCAGCTCTGCTCAGTCTGAACAACTTGGAGAAGAGAAGTAACTTGTTTTTCCAGCTCTGTGAGTGCACCGCTAATCCAGTTTATGAGAAACTAAGAATTTAGCCATTCTTCTAAATCATGATTATGCAACCTGATTAGGAACAATTACTGCCCTCTAAAGTTAAAAAAGGTTCTTTATAGGTGTTTATGTGGGTCTTATTTGGAGGCGAAAGGAGGAGGGAGAAAAAAAGGGGGTCATGAGGATTTCTCATTGGCTTGTTCTTTTAAAACCAACCCCTTCACAAATAAATCCACTTAAGCAGCTTCACAGCTTCAGCTAAGACACTAGAAAAATGTAAACTTGCAGTTATTTACAGAACAAAAATCCTCTTAGTGCAAAGAGAATGGGACCCATTTTCTCTCTCAGTTTTTTTAAAAACATTTTTTAGGAATTATTCCGTTATATAAGCTCGGAGCAGGTTACTGGTGCTCAATAAAAAGTAGAACGTGCCCAAACAGTAACTCCTGACCTGGTCTTGTGGAAGTAGCAAACATATGAAGGATTTTGAAAAAATCAAAAACATATATCTGAAAAATCAGTCAAAGTGGACTGTAGCAATTAATCAATGTTAGAGCCTCAAAATCAAAAGCTAGAAGGAGACATTAAGCAGCAGTTTAAGGATTGCATTTCATACCGGTGGTAGGGTGACCTGTCCAGTGACCTCAGGTGCCTTCATATTAAAGGTGTCCTCTCCCAAGGTTTCCTGCTCTGCTCCACTGGGGTATGGTGGTGGTGGGTAGGGGGGGAACTCTTCCAGGAAGCCCTCCGGAGGCGGAGGAGGCAGGTTGGGTATTGTGTCCTCCAAGCCAAGAAGGGGTGGTGGTGGTGGGAACAACGCATCATCTGGCCTGGGTGCTGGGTGGGGTGGAGGAGGAGGGGGGATGATGTCCTCACTCTCTGGGATGGGTGAAGGTGGTTTGGTCTGCTCTGTTGTGTTTGGAATTGGGACGCTGGCACCTGCAGAGTGAGATGGGAGCTGTCCTCCCTCCACAGTCTGTCCCATGTCTGATGGGGAATTTTCAGCGGCACTCAGCGGAATCGAGTCATACTGCCCCACAAAGCCATCAGCCGGCTTCTCAGATTCGCCAGCATAGGTGGGAGTGGTTGGCGTGTTCACAGTGGTCTCCATAGCTGCCAGAGTGGTTTTCTGATAGAGCAGTTTCTGAATGTTGGGCCCTGCTGGACCCTCCGGTTCAGTAATAGAGCTGCGCTTCTTCAGGGGTCTGGGGGCATTGTAGAGCTTCTTTCTAAGAGCTTCAAGGTCACCATCACTTTGATGCCTGTAGGGGTTGGAAATGAATGGAAGCAGCTTGGTAGGGCTAAGAGGCCGAGGGGTGCGCTCCGTTTCTGGCTGGTGCCCCTCAGATGGGTTGGGACCCATACTGCTGGCTCCACTGTAGTCAACTTCATTGTCTGGAGCAGGTGAGCGCCGCTCTAGGTATGGGTTCTCTGGATGCCGAGAGCCTCCACTTTGGAAGACCGGTTTGCGATACACTACAAACGACAATAGGATAATAGTGAGTGAGTGTCCACAAAGAGCCTTATCTGTCCTGTGCAAACTCACTAGTCTTCTCCCTGCTGCCTTTTGTCGGTAACTTATCTATATAGTAAAATTGAAACTGACACAAATAAATTGAAAACCCAGACTGATAAAAACACAAAAAATCTAAGCAATGAAATGTACTGTGATGTGATAGGAAGTGGAGCAAACTGCCATTAACTTTGTTTTTAGGATATCAATTGTTGTTGGTATCCAAATGGCCCACTTAATCTCTTTAACTGTGAAATGTTCAATTAATGGAAACGTAGTAGATTATCTCACAAATAGACAAGAAAAAATAATTTGTGGGAAGTATATGGTATTTACTTTACAGTAGCATTAATGAAAGACCTTCCGGGTTCCCTCAAAACAACTTAGTTAAGGCAAATTGAGAGAAATGGATATTCTTACCACTGACAAATCCATTGGGGCGGTTTTGAGGTCTGTTGACAGCTCCCTGGGCACCAGACTGGAAGGATTTTCCTGAGCCTGATTGCTTGGTGTACATAGAGTAAATGGAGCTGGCTGCTAAGGTCTGTGGTTTACTCAGGTTGGCGTCTTTGGAGGATGGCAGCTCTGGGGTGAAGGGTCGTACTGTGGCGGCTGGTGGAGTGTCCTGCTTGGATGGCAGGGGGAGTGTCTGACTCTGTGAGGGTGGGAGAGGGCTGCGGCCTTGGGCAGCCTGGGGCTGCTGGGTGTGAGGTTTGGCTTTAGGAAAGGTTCCCGTGTTGAGGCCTGGTTTACCATAAGGCACCACACCAGGGCCTTTTGGCTTTGTGGGGACAGGTGGTGGCACCTTGACTGGAGCTTTAGGAGCAGACTAGACAATTAAAAGAAATGTGGAATAAGCACGTCAGACACAACAATGCCTAGTTTAAGAAAAAAGAAGAAAGATTGGTTTGGTTACTAACTTGAGCATCCCTGACCAAGTCATCACTGCTCTGATTTTTGCGGAGGGAGGCAGCAGGGGCTTCAGTTGGCTCAAACATGGAGAATGGACGCACCTTCCTGTCTCTCTTCAGTTCAGACTCATCTACCATAGAGTACACATAGAGGCAAAAGTCAGTTTCATCGCTAGCTCAGATATTTTGATCTTCTAAAAGACCAAAAAAAAAAAACATTCAGTGGGAGTATTCTGCTTCAACAACTACTACATTCAGATGCCTGCATTTCTGTGATTAAGGTGCATTTTTTCCTTTGTGCGAGTATCTTACCTTGTACTGAGTTAGAGGTGGAGTGAGAGTTCATTCGTGGCAGTGTTGAGGCTGGGCCATGACCATTGGTGTTGGAATCTGGACTTGAAGAACTCCAGTCTGCCAGCTTCCCAGGCTGAAGACCTGGAGGAACAACAAAAGAAGATGGAGGAATGGAAGCAGAGATTCTGGGAGTGTTTATGATCATGTTATGAAACACATATGCACATACATGCATACTAACATAAATGTATCAAATAAAATCCATTTGTTTTTGCATGACTGGCTAAGATCCAGCCTGTGGCCATGCATGTCTGCAAACATCCGCAGTCAGATGAGCCACAAAGCATGGCGCTCTGACGACGAGCGAGATTAGCATCCAATCAAAAACGCTATAAACACAAGTGTTTCCTACACAAGACCGGCATTATGCATTTAATGTTCTATCTGAATAGTGGCTGCTCAAATAGACCTATATTCCTTTTCATTTTGCAGGCAAGATTGGAATGGGATGGTTACAATCCAGACAGAACGTCAGATCGAGTGAAGGTAATGTGTTTGTTCCAACTGACCCGTTTAGAGTTACAGAAAAAGAAGTGAGGGGGAACTCAACAAGCACGCTCAACAAAACAAGCAAACGGCACCACATATTAAGCTTGGAAGATATAAAGGTGGAGCACCTCCTTTGGCTTATAGAAAAATTTCCAAAAAGAGCTCATAGGAAGCACACACACACAAACACAAGTGTGTACCTTTTCTTTTAGCCCGCAGCTCTTTCAGAGGCTTAAGCAAGAACATGGCTTCTGAGGATGATGCATTCGAAAGACAAGAAAAACAAAGTAGCCTTTAGATGTCCATTTGCTCTAAACATGATGGTAGATGGGCCCAGGTACCAGATACTACACCCCAAGGGGTCATCCAAAGAACAGCTCAACTCTAACTGATAGCATGCACCGAGCTTGAGAAGAACTGGGAACAGTATAGTGAGAACAGATTCCTCTGTGTCCCCGCCCATCCCCTCTCTCTCCTTGTCTTGTACTGCATATTAACCCAACATGCAGAAATAATTACACACAGCATCAGGACAGACGGAGGAGAAACTTGTTACTATGCCTGTCATCCCCACTGCTTTAAAACAGGAAATCATGGGATGATGATGGAGGTGATGTGGGAATGGAGGAGGATGACTCCATTCGCTGTTGCTTTGTAAGGACATATTTTGGTGTCACATCAATCTTTTTTTTTTTTTTATAACAGAATGCACACAGCTTCTGGTGAACCGATTCAGGTAAAATAGAAGATACTCAAGATGGTCAGAAAACTGGGTGTTGCCAAAATTTCCACCTACAATGCATTAGCTACATTCTCCAACAGTTTGCAGGTAGATGGTGCTGAAAAAGCAACAACTTATCCTTTGAAAATAACCTTTTAAGGGAAGGGGGACATCAAATTCAAACAGTGTCTCACTCACTGCAAACTCTTTCAGCCTACTTCAGAAAGAAAAGGAGGGAATATTGATAGTGATATTTAGATTCAGCAATGCCACAGCACAACACACCATCCGGGAGGCAACTGGCTACCTTCTGAGCTCAAAGTGACATCATAGTCAGTATGTGTGCCTGACTTCTCTGCTCCCACAGACGCAAGGATCATTTTATGACACCACAAAAAAAAAGAAGAGAGAGAGACAAGAACTGACTGCACTGAGTTGTCGATAACCTTTTACATATGATCTATAAAGCCAAAACATTTAATTTTGCACTTGAATTTCTGAAGTTAAAAGTTAACTGGTTCAGGTATAGGACATCAACAGGCTGCAAAGAAAGGCTCCATGTGAAGGTCATCTCACCTGTTCCGGCCTTGCTCGGTGGGTCTTGAGCTGGTAGTGTGACAGTGCCGTCCGGGTAGGCTGGCTTTACAAGCAGGTCGTGTCTGGCTGGACCTCGGGGCAGTGTGGAGGACTGGATGTATGGGCCCACTGCTGCCACACGAGACGGACCCAACTGTTGTCCAGCTTGGCCATCAGAGGGCAGCTGTACAATGAAACAGATGCATAGAAATAAGAATAAATATATCCATGGTTGCAGCAAGGCTTAGTGAAACCATTTTCCAAGTGCCTTGTGCTGTTGGAACAGTAGAAACAAGATTTAATACTTTAAATATTCGAACAAGGTCAATCAGCAGACATCCTCTCACATAAAATGTTCTTATTTTAAGATCATCTGCAAGGGGAAGGTGAAATGCAAACTTGACCCTTTAGGTGGCACCAGAGCAGACCATTTAAACTCAAATCTAATCTAATGAGTGGAAGTGTTGAAAATGTGTAAGGATGTCGTTTTTCCAATGGACAATGGTCATTTCAATGAAACACAAATGAGTTTCTAAACTATGGAAAAACAAGGTGAAATCAAAAAGGGCCTGGTATTTTGAATATATTCTGAATGTAAGTACTCCAGAACAATCAACCATAATTTTATACTCGATCAAAATACTTAAAAAAGGAGCTAATTTAAACGAATCAATCTCAGTTGAAGAACTAAAAAAATGTGAGGATATTTTTTTGTTAACAAGAACCTTTTGCAATAGACCATTAAAAGTGTTTAATTTTATACTTAAATGTAGAATCCTACAAGTGGAGCTAAAACAAACAAACTAAATAGCTTTCACTTCACTTACAAACAATAAGTGTTCCTTGAAATGGAAATGTTCACAATATAAATAATATGGCGCAAACAGAAACTGGTAGAATGGCTAATGGAGTCTGATGCATGCCATAATTAAAAAATACGATTAGAAAGCAAACAGACATAAGTACAGCTCCAATAGTTATTTAGTTACCTGAAGGTGAGTTTCTTTTGAAGCCCTCTCTTTACCAGGATAGCCATTCTTGAGAAAACAAAAGCACAAACATGCAAAAGTAGTTCAAAATGCCACACAATCCTGATTCCAATCTAAAATTGGCCTTTCTCATGTATGCAAGTAAGCGGGGGAAGGACAAGTCAGCTGGCAACTCTGAGTGCTTCTCTTGTGTCAAGTTAGCTGTACGAATTTGTTGGGTGATGTCACCCAGCGGCTTGCTGTTTGGTTGGAGGAGAGCAGTTTGGATGGAGTGTGTCTTTGTGCTGCTGTGAAAAAGGATCACTCATTATGATTCTAGGCAGGGTGTGGGTAAATCACCTCCTCACTCGGGCCTATTGAGGTCTTCATCTTTAAAACACTCAAACCCAACAAACTGGAGATGGACATGCAAACTGTTTATGTACTGTTCTTACTCTTTCAGACATATCAGGGGAATATCAGAAGACATGCAGGGGCACTTTATTAAAGGATTTCTTCTTGAGTATTGGATATATCTTTGATATTCCCATTAAATCTTTAAAAATGTTATGTTTCAACTTGCAGGCCATTTCTGATCATGTACACCTTGGTAAGCATTGCATGGAACATACTCAAGATAATTTCTTTACATTTAAAACATTGAAAAAGACAAAGCTGAGCACTGGAATTAATTATGAAGTTTAAAGTTAAAAGGTTATTGGAATTGCATGGAATGGAATTGGTTATTTGAATTTTCTAGAAGGAAAGACAGCTTGAATTAATCCAATTAAAAAGACCCTAATGTCTGAAAAGAATTTGACAGAATTAGAAAACATGTGAAGAGAACTGCAAAGGGGCAGAGTAAACAGAGTAAGGGCATAGTCATTCATCATTGAAAATGATAGTATAATATGACTTTTAGTTTTGGTCATGCTCACCATTACAAGAACAATAACATAAGCTGAAGCAGGGACGGTGAAACCTCCTCTACTACACAATTTGTTTCATAAACAACTCTGTTGGCTCTTATTTACAGTCCCATGGGAAACTATGTGCAAAACAACTCCTGGAGAGGGAAGGGGAGAGAGTGGAGAAGTGGAGCACAGCTGCTAAAACCTCGGCTTAAGTTAAAAATTAATTTAGCTGGCAGATTTGTAACATTCGTTTTAGCGTGCTGGATTTTTGTGAGGCAGTGCTGTAGCTTTAAGAGAACTGGTTGTTCAACTTGAGCCGTTTCTGTTATAGTAAGTGTAGCTAGAGACGATAACATCTCCACAGACATTCCTGCCTGCTTATGATGACAGCCTACACTCATTACGCCACTCTCATCCTCAGGATTTGTTTTTGTCAAAATGGGACTGAAAACTGAGCTGTTTGAAGAGGCCTCAGATGTAACTCTGTTTCATGATCAGAACATTGTCCAAAATGTTTTGTCGAAAAGAAGGCTGAAAAGAGGAAGAATCAGAAAAACACTCATTCCTTTGAGTGAGGACAGTCAAGTTCCCCAAATAGAAGACAAAAATTTAAGCAGCCTTACGCTGGCATGGTTGAGCTCTGAATGCCACAAGATCTCAGGCTTAAGGAGGTAAAAAAACAAATAAGGCAAAAGAGGGAGATATGAATACTTGTGGCAAAAAAATGCATAAAGGTACGTTTGAACAGTGTTCTGATGCAGCAATACTCACAGGCAAATTCTCCTTTTGTTGAAGGGCAGCCTTTTTCTTCCACAGCCGATCCCGGAGCTCAGTGATCCGTTTGTCCATAGAAGCCACCTCCAGGTTGCGCTTGTTTAAACTCTCTTTCTGTTGCTGCAACTTGGAGTTTTGATCTTGGTTGAGTTTGTTCCTCACCTGACAGAAAACAACAAAACGAGAGTCGGTTCCCCGTTTGTGCTCATCCAACACAAATACTTGACACAATATAACGAAGCCCCTCATTTGTTTAATCTCTACATACCTGTAGCTCCTTGTACAGTCTGTCAAGTTCAGCCACAGACCTTTGGTTGTCATTGAAATTATCCATTTTGCCACTTTTAAGTGACTCCAGCTGCCGGCCGAGCTCCTCCACCTTGGAAGCAGCCATAACTAGTTCTCTTTGCTTCTGCTGGAACAGGTTATTCATTTGTTCGATTTCCTCCACTGGAGAGGTTAAAGAGTGATGATGGAAAGGTGGAAAGAACATAAATGAAGGGGAAAAAGACAGGTAAGTAAATCAGGTTTTGAAATGATCAAAACTTCCGTAATTAGAACTTGAATTTGAATTAAATGGGTTTACCCAGTTTTCCATTGCTGAGGCGTTTCTGCTCCACTTGGCCCTTGATGGCTCGGACCTTCTTGAGCCGAGCTTCCTGATTGTCTATGTTCTCACGGAGACGCTGGAGCTTCTCCTGCTCAGACGCCTGCTGCTGTTGACGCTGCTCCTGCTGCTTCAAGTACCGCAGTCGCTGCTCCTGTGGATGAAAGCACAGAGACGCTGCTCAAAAGTGGTCAAAGTATGAAATTAGGCAAATATATCCCTATTTATCCCATGAATGAAACAGCTGACTGTGAACTTTGGCAAACTGTGAAGGGGCTGGAAGTAGAAGGGGCGTTTTAAGAGTGTAGCCATAACAAGCCACAGTATAGGTCATTTTAACATTTTGGTTAATTAAAATGAAGAAAATATTTATAATAAATAATTATTAAGTTTTAACATTGTAGGCTTTCCCCAAACTGATTCTAAGGTGAGCACAGCACAGTCTGGCATACTTTAGCTGATTTGTGCTGTGCGTAATGCCTGTCTTGTTTACTTGACTAGTAAATGTGAAGGAAGTCACATTCTTTGGCCTGCTGCATAGGCCTCAGGCAGACAAACTAACACAACGTGCAACACAACAAAGAGAACGTAATCAGATAAGTTTTTTTAATTAATCTTAACAAAAAGCAAATATGTGCATGATCTAGAATGTTTCTTTTATGTCTTTATGCACCTTGGAAGCGAGAAGCAGTTGCTGGGATTCTATCTGTTGCTGCTGCCTGGCAGCCATTTCTTGTAGCTCAGCCAACGTCATGTCCATGCGAGGTGTTGCAACCTGGGCAGGAGAGAAGATAAGAAAGGAAAACTAACTAAATGAAACAGATTCTTCCTCATCAGATATTTAAGATGAAGGTGTTCTTTTCAGTCAGATCATTTGGAGCTTTTTATTCAGAAAAGCAAAAAATGAAACATAAGTTCAAACAAACAGCATCAAAATCATTGAATTGTTTTGTATATTCAGGATAAAATAGATACAACTTTTATAACTTCAGGATATGATGCAGTAAATCATTTACGAATGGCATTGGTTCACGACAGGTGTAAAAAACTGACTTGAAGTAGACTGAATTAATCAGCACCCTCAGGCACAATATCAGGCCTGCTTGTCAAATATAAAGTAAATCATACCATGTAACAGAACTCAATCAATTTCTGTTCCTCATTTAAAGTCCTAGCAATTACATATGGAAAATTATCTTGAACAACTCGGCATACAATGTTCGAACCATTTGTCTTGGGGGTTAAAAAAGAAGAATCTTACTCCATTCTCCATTCTTCGGTCTGGGGGACCCCTCACTCCATTTCTCTTGGCATCTGAGCCTCTTGACCCTCCTGAGGAATCAACAGAGTAGAAGACAGCGCTCTAAATAAGGAAAACCGTTTTCCCCCATTTTAGACAAAACCAAGAGACAGCCATTTGTGTAAACCACTGGCCTTCACAGACAGCTGTAAAAAATGATTGGAACTTCCACTTAGCTTGTTCCTTGTAAGTGACTCTGGTAAACAAGTACACACACTTTGTGAAAAGGTTTCTCTAAACTTGCTGGAGGGAAGGGAGTACAACATAAAAAAAAGGAATGACTGGCTTTCTCCTGCAGAAAACAACTGGGATCAGTACCGTTTGTGACTTGAAATAATCTCAGGATTTAACAAATACATAATCGTCTGTGAGTGGGTCTGAAACTGTGTCTGTGGATATAAACTTTCATCCAACCAGCATTTGACCGAGGAGTCTAGTCCATGAGCAAAGCCCTTTTATCTTGCATAATGGCTGTTAGATAAACCTGTACACAAAGTATGCTAAATAAATGCTGTTCAACACGTATAAAGTCTATAAACCACATTAAGCTGAGTAGGAGTAAAGTTACTTCTTTTTTTATTTTTTACTTCAGTTAGGCCAAGGATACGTTTAAAACTGGGCACTGATGAAAAGCAAAATAACACAATGCCAGAGAGGGATATACATGTAAAGAAAAATATTGCTTTACTAATGCAAAATAGCATCTTATACCACAGAAGTGACAAAGCAGGTTAACCAGTCTTTGATAAATATGTTTGACAGAGGTATCGTAATACAGAGCTATAACGACAGTTCTGATAAGAATGAAGCAAACCGAGCCCAGCCTAAGATAACAGGAAGTGAAAACAGCCATCTAATCCCTGGGCTAGACTCAAGCTGTGAGGGGTAAAAGAGCTTAGTTATGCAACAGAGGGATCACAGGACAGTGCAGGACCAACATACTGGACTTTTCTGTGCTCATGAGAAAACTGAAAACGTAACAAGCTTATGACAAACTACGACAACACTCTTAAAACACAAAGTTAAATGACACCAATTGATAAAATACTGTTTCCTAGATAAAGACAGCATCATGTGTACCATTTCCAAATCTCTGTAGTGCTGACAAACAGGTGAGCATGATTGTAAATGGCTGGATGAATGCATGTTTAAATGCTGCGGTCAGCTGTTGAGTTTATTATGTTGGTGTCAAATGTCTCCTCTCTGAGGACAACCCAATTATCTCTACTGTGGGAAAAGTGGCCATAGAAGCCCTTTCATTTGGTCATTTGTTGTGTGCTGGATTTACCTGATTCCCTGCTCGGGGGTCGATTGTGGCGCAGAAAGAAGCGTACCTCCATCCTGTGCTGCCCCCATCTTTGGAGCAAATCCAACATCCTCTCACCCTCACCTACAGCTCTCTCTGCAGAAGCACAGCATAATTATATAAAAGCTCACATGAGGTTAAAACACACCTATAAATTCAACAGGGAAGCATTTTATTAATCCTGCCAAGGGTGAAAACACGCGACAAGCACGAGGTAGGTCAAATGTGCATGTACTGTTTGCTTTGTGAATGCTGTGCAATGTACACTGAAAGGTTCTTCTTCAGGGAAACCAAAAATAATGTGTATGTGCTGTTTGCTCAGGGTGGCATTGAGCTAAAGTGCTCATCGACTATTCTTTTACTTCCTTCAGTGGGCTTTAAAGCCTGTTTCATTAGAAGAGAGAATGACACCTTACAGTTTAGGACAGGTCAAGAGGAAGATTTCATCTAATGGCAGACTTACACAATAAATTAGATACAGTGATATAAACATAATGAAAAACTTTACATGAATTTGATGAAAAATATCACAAGATAGGTTTTAACAGTCAGTCAAAACTGTCTGAATGAGTCCTCTGCCTTCTGAATGTTGCTTACAGACTATTCATGAAAGTACTCGAGCACATTAATTCTCTCTTACGGCAGTATCTCCATGGAAACGGCGATTAAGCCTGGCTCCTTGAGTTCTGATTTTGAATACTTGAAGACTCTCAAGAAGAGGAGAAAAAATGAGCCAGACATGAAACTTCAAACCCTTCCCCAGCACCTTCCACCTCTGACGTGCGAGATGTTTGGGGGATTGTGTTTGTCACAGGGTTTAAGGGCTCTGCTGCATTTGCATAGCAGAGTCGAAGAAATGAGATAAGCCTTTTATGATACACTGCCCGTCTCAATAAAAACGTTTCTCCAGAAAAGCAGCTGTAATAATAGAGATGGACAATGAAGATAACTCTACGTACAGCAACCCTCCTACTTACCAGATCCACGCCACATCTCAGACAGGTGGCAGTCAGTTTCTCCCGGCTCCTTGCACAACTCCACCACATCCCGGCACAGAGTCTCTGGGGTAACGGGAACCTCGGTAAAATGCTGGTCATTGTTACTGAGGTATACAGTCAGGAACATCTGTACACAGAGAAGGGTGGGGGATTAGATGGAGATAAAAGGTTGATGATATCACAGGAGTTAACGTCACAATTCTCTGTAACTGCTGTCCAATTCCTCCGTAGTTCATTGTGTGAATATATAAAGTAAAAATGTGTTTTCTGATAACAGCATCTGTTTCCAAGGCTACACACCACCATGTAAACAGAGAAATTGGAGAGGAACTCCAAGAATTCCACTGAACCCAACCCTATCTAACTGGAAACTACAGCCATCATAACAGAGATATTGCGCTTTACCCCACACGGAGACAGAACATACCCCAGAAGATTCCAGAAAAGCTGGACTTTTGTACATCAGATGAAAGTCTGTATGAAAGCCACTCACTTTCTTTTAGCCTACCAAATCAATGTATGCAAAAATAAATGAAAGACACTACTCATGGTGGTTAGTTTCAGAAGGATCCCTATGATCATTTAAAACATGTATAGATATTAAAAATGTATATGAGAAATCTCCTATTGTGTAATTATTATAGACAGAATATTCCCCCGTTATAAACAGATCAAACAGTGGGAGTATGCTTGCCTAGGGCTGCAATAAACATAAATCTCAGAATTGAGATGCTCTTCTACACGCTGGCAGCCGTTTCATTTATTGAACCACTTTATTCAGCGTAAGATTTGATATGGCGTTTTCTTAGCATCGTTTTCAATAATGGTGACAGGCAGGCACTGGCCCAAGACTGAAATCGCTAGTGCTGCACTGCTGTACACATCCTGGATCTCCAGGTTAGACTGTCAGGTTTTTATACTGAGCAACTCTGAGTGGCTGTGCCTACCGGGGCCACTGTGGGAACAGCGGGTCAACAAGGACAAAAACACAAAGGGCTTAAGGGGGTGAGCATACTGAGCAGCTGAAGCCATGATGTTGAAACCAAACCGGCGAGTCGCTTTTCAACTGTGGGATCGAGCTAAGGTGCCACAGCCCTGTGATAGGAGACTTCCTCTGCCTTGTCTGCTTCAAAAACTTTGAGTGAGGCAGGATGTGACTCTTTTAAAATCTTCTCCAGTGATAAAGTATGAGAGAGCAGAGTATGGTTTGACTGAAAAGATCTGACTCAACTTGTTTGTTTAATAGGGGATGTAAATCAAGAACTCCATTATCAGAGTTAGTGACTCATCCTTGCCAGTGGTGACTGAGTCATTTTCTGTACGTGAACTACAATAGATAAAGCTGCAAAGAGCTTTTTCTCCTTTTAAATCACAACTGAGATGCAAGACCAGCCTAAAGACCCAGGCTCAAATTAATTACTTTTACCCTTTATTTTCTAGCTTATTACAGTTATAGGTATAACTGTTTTTGTAAAGATTGCCTCTGAGTTGTTGGCTACAAGACAAAACGGACATCAATTTAATGTAGCCTATCTTTAGCCAAGTATTTCAAAATACATTCAGTGATCAGCACAAAGCAGCTGACTTCATCAAAACCTCCCAGGGATGTAGGACATTTAGATGACCCTGCTAATATTTGGACAAGGAAACAGAGAAGCGTGAGAAGATGGAACCAGTAACAGGAGGGGAAGATAGATCTGGGGGTGGCAATTTCTATACTGACAGCCATTTCTCCACTGCACTAAACTTAATGATCCAGTGGCCACAAGCACCCAGTGCTAGCATCCATCTAGATGAGTTAGCACTTTGCTGCCAATAACAATCCACATCATTCATGAGAGCCACAATTAGGGATTTTGTACAAAAGGTCCATCTACACATAAACGCATAATTAATCAGGCTGATATTACCAAATTAGAACTAAAAATAAAACAAAATAGGCTAAATAAGGTTTAGAAATATTTCTGATTTAATTTAGTTGAACATCTTTCTTTTAAGATGGGTCTAATTGACTTTTTATCATCAGAGGACTGATATGTGCTGAAAACATAAGGGGTAGTATTAGCATTGCAATATTAACAGAAACAAAAAAGAAATCCAACCCGGATGAAAATATGTGGTTCATAAATACAAAAATAAGACATAGGAACATTGCAGATCCTGAGCAAGCATGAAGAAGTGTACTTAAAGGAGCCAGGAGTACCCAGGCTGTTTAGATTCAGCCAGACAAATTGCGGGTTCATTAAAGATTCATGGATACAACAGCAAGCAAAATTAAACGGCTCGATAACAGCCCGATAGACCCACAGCAAACCAGAAAGGCAGCAGACGAGTCTAGCCTTAGCTAGCCTTACATGACACGTGGGCTGAGCAGGATTACTTCTTATTAGAAGTGACAACCTTTGACAAAATCTGATATATTTGCTTCCTGTCCATCAGGTGTGAAACAAATGAAAGAAGCGACTGCTGTATTTCAAATCTTTGTCTGAGAGGGAGTAAAGAGATTGCCCAGGGAGGCAGAGAGGACAGGCTGCCTCTGCTGTTGTGCTTCATCATTATGGCAATAGTTTTATAATTCCATCATAGCATCAGCAAAGTCAAAGCTGTATCTCACGATTTAAGACTAGTACGACAACTAAGGACAGCAGAACGCAAAACATAGTACATGCAACAAAATGTGAAGCCTGCGTTGTAGCCATGTATGAAGTAGAAAACAAGGCAAGGTCATTGGGGATATATCTCGGGGATTAAATTAATCTCCTATATCAAAATATATAAATATAGCCTTTTAACAGTTTGCGTGCTATTGCCTATAATCTTACTATTGTAGTAGTGAGCCAGAAGATAAGCAGCTGCCTTATGCAACATCAAAGGGGTCATTATTTCTTCACCAGATACAATATTCAGCAAATGGCATACGATGTTCAAATATCCGGTAAAATATCAAGGACAAAAACAGTTGAAAAAAGCCATAGACTCTCTGTTCCTGACACTTTGGTCCGAATAGATGTGCGTGTGTTTCTTAGTGATAAAAGCCTGAAACATCAAAACCCAGAGGGAAAAAAAGGGCACATCTGACAGAAAAGTGACTACAGCTGGCAGTGCTTGACCCGCCCTGTCGAAACAACCTGAAAGGGTCATAAGAGTGACTGCAGACAAAGACGTGCTGTAACATTTGTTCTTGGATAATGCACTGAAACAGGATTGTTTGTCGGTTTTTCCATCCCATATTAATTCAAACAAGATGGAACGTCTGTGGGGGCATGCAGAGAAACTATATGAAACTAAAATCAGCAACTCAGTCCAAAGATGCTGATTTTGCTCTTTACTCTGTGAGTTGGATCCGTGCTTCCATTAAAGAAAGAGCCCCAAAGGAAATGACATTGATTACAAAGCTGAGCGGGCTGTTCAGGCCCCTCTAGTTATCAGGACATACATCTACGAGACGACTGCGTTTGAATAACTGTACGAGTAGAATAGTTTGTCACCAATTACCAAATCAAATGCTGTGTGTGTGTTTAAGTGCGGCTCTCTTACTGATTGTTCTGATAACGCTTATGGTGCAAGTAGCAACATAAACACAACAGTTGGCAGGGATTTGGAGTCTGGATTCAAATGTGCTGTGACAGCTCACCAACCATATCAACTTAGTATGATCCTTGGATAATGTTTCATCAAACAGATCTGAAAGCCTCTTAGTCCTTGAAAATGACTCCCTTCATGGTGCTGTGGTCTCATTGTCCAGATGCGATTATTTCAATATTGAATTAGTGATCAAAACTGTCTGCCACTGCAGTTTCCACATTTTTAGAAATGCGCCAACCACAAGGGATTTTATAAAAGGGAATTAGTTCACTGTATAGGAGAAAAGCAATTTAAAGTTCATCCATACATAGTAAAATTGCCTTACCAACACCAGATAATAAATCATCTTAATATGGTCCTGTTACAGGACAGCTGAGGTCCCAGGTAAACGCAGTCATTTAATGAATTTTAATTTGACAGTTGGAATAGTACAAACAAAACAGAAATGCATTTTTTTGTACAGTGTTCAGTTTTTAATGGGTGGAATCTTTTGTTCTATTGTTTGGAACGCTATTGCAATATTATTGGTAGAAAAGTGAAAAAGTAACAGTAAGCAGGGAAATGTGCAGGGCTCTGTAGAGCTGCAGCTGGGGTGGACCATTTCATCAGACCACCGTCCATTACCCAGAGAACACGTACAGGAGGAGGACACAGACTGACAGACAGAAAGACGCTGCAAACTGTGGAGCAGGCAATTTATTCCTTTCAACTACCTCCAATTCTCTTCTTCAGAAGTCAATGTGCATCAAAAGTGAAGCTAAATTCAAAGCAGAGATGTGTCTGAGCCACCAGAATGATCCTGGGACAGGAGGTCACCATTACTCACATGCATCCACTCTTTTTGAAAGTGTCTGAATCAACACTGCAAAGGTGCCTTTACATTTTGTGATAACTAAACACATAAACCACCACGACAAAGAAACAGAGATAGCAGGGACCACATCTTCAACCTTGTCTGAGGGTCCCTCACCTATGTCCTGCCGAGGCAAACTCATTCAATTACAGATTTCGCTGTGCTAAGCAAATGAATTAACTGGCCCTTGTTGATGAAGTCACTACTGAATCTAATTACTGCAGGTTTGAGAGACACTGCACCAGCATCTTTGTGTGTGTGTGTGCTTGTCTTAGTTTTCCTTTTACGGTTTCAAGAGTTGACACAGTTCCAGCATCGGAGTCCTTCAAAAAGGTGAGGCTGCAGAAAACTCCCTAATGGCTTTATGCATTATTTCTCTCCATCTCTTTTTTTATACAGTCTCTGTTTTGACATGCTGCCTTGGAGGACAAGACAGTGAAGGAGATGAGGTCAAAGGTGAATTTAGTAGAAGGTGTAAGAAACTGGACATACAGTGACATCATTGAGCTGTGGCTTTAGGGGAAAGAGAGAGAGAAAAAAAACTACTTTTACCTACATCTTCTGTGTGTGGACAACCTTTTCTCTGTATCTGCACTGCAGTACTGAGCATATCAGTTTATGATCTGCTCTCCTGTACCACTCTTCCTGGTCTATGTGATCATACATTTCTTTTGTTGTGTTGGGGGAAACCAGAGTCAAAATTAAGCATGACAGATGATATATTTGTTTTTTTCTGAGAAACAAAAAACTACACATGGGTGACGAATTCCAGAAAAATTGTATTTTGTCATTTCTTGGCTTAAAAAAATAAAAAGAACCTGAATGATGTCATTGTGGCGTTTGATCTTTCATATGCAAAAGAGATCTAGCTCCACATAACTGGTATTCGTTAGACATTTCGTTAACACGGAAACTTCCAGGTCTGAACACCAAAGTAATATCCGTGCTGAAATAGTATTGTTTGCAAATCATGAAGTGTTTTAAATACTAAAAAAGTGGATGCTCATTAATTGACCAGAGTTAGACAGCTATGAATTCAGAAGACCAATAGACGAACTGCATTTCTGAACTATTCTCCCATCCATCCAACTTACAGAAAAATGTAACACATGACTTTTAAAGTAGTCATGAAGAGTTACTGCCCCAGCTTTCACTCACTCAAGGACAACCATAGATAAAGCCTACTTAAGGCACAGTTTTAACAAAGATCAGATTATTAACAAGCTGTAGAAAACTATTAAATGACTAACAACTTCCAAGAAAATGACTGACATGAGTCCACCTGCTTCAGTCTGCTTACTCCACTCACATATGGACCAAACAGACAATAGAGCTAAAGATACTGTTTGTATTCACATTAGGAAAAAACACAATATGACAGTGTTTAAGATGGGGTTAGCCCACACAGCCTTTTAATTCATTATGCTTACAATCAACATTAGATAAACCAGTGTCAATGTCTTTAATGTGCAGTCACGGCAACTCCCCTGGAAACAGACTATTACCAAAAACAATTCCTAAATTCACATGGATTTTTACAGCTGTGAGTTGCTCAATCCAAGGTAACAAGTTGATTCTTGCTCAGTCAAATAAAATGGCTCCTTTTATAAACCAACACTACTCAGATAAAAAAAACATTTATTGTTAATTATGTTCTCATCCACTCGTGAGCTTCAGCACTTCAGTCCAATTGCAATATTAAATGGATAAATACTTCAGGGAGATATACACTCATCACAGACCTATTCTATATTTAAACACTCCATTTCAGACAATCCACGACTAAAACATTCTGACTACAATTCTGCTACAAAAAGTCAGTAAAAGAAATAAAATAAAAACATAATACATCAGTTTCCTTGTTTATCACATTGACTGTCTGCTTATGTAACCACACCACAACTCTCCCACAGAGTAAACGCAGGCCAGTGGGGGCCACAGAGAAATTCTACTCTGGTTTTTGTTGATACATATGACAAACAATGGCTTTTCAAAGCACTACTTTTACTTTCCCACCGCTATAACCACGTCAGTGGCACCTGAGATCTGCTGAGGTATAACTACGAAAAGAGACAAATGTGACGTAAAACAATGATAAAGTTAATGTGGGCACACAAAGGTGTATCTGCCCAGAAAAATCTACACACAAAACACCTTGCATCATGGGAGAAAAATAAGGAATTGTAGGGATATGAGGCTTTGGCAGCTGAAAACCAAAACAAGCATTTCCCAAAACACACTCTTCTCTGTTGTTGTTTTTATTTTGCAAGTGTTGTCTACTCAATGTAATGCCCAAAGTGTGTCAAGATGAATTATGGACTGATAAACCACCACAAAACTCAGGCCTAGATGTGGCATTAGCACATTGCTGAGGAACAAAGCTGGCTTTAGACAAGATAACAGTAATTCTGAGGTAAATGAGTTACAGGATGCTATGGTTCAATAAAGGGCGAGTATCCCTTATCAGGGGGCTGCCACAACACAGGCACACAAACAATGCATTCTACACAACACACTGGTAAAGAGTCCCCGCAGCTCATTGTGCTCAAGAAACAGTGCCCCCCTATTTACCATCCCTGCCAGCAATTATGACACTACATTCTCACTACCCCCACTCCAATCCCCGGCCCGCACAGGCAGGGTCATGGGGTAGTGGTGTAATTTATAAGACAATAGCTCACATCAGACATTGTTAAATAGAGGCCACACAGTGTTTATCAGGCAAACACAAGAACACGCATCTCACTCAAACACACAGAATCGTATGGTTGGTTGAGATTCACTCTGAAGTGACAGATGTGAATTAAAGAGATGGTTTCTAAGGCTGCAGTTACCTGATAAAGAAAAAAGGGTTGTCATTCATGGTGAAAATGGACTACATGCCAATACCAGATAGAGGTCATGAACCAAACAGGAATCACTCAAATCCAACCCTGCCTCCATGTGTAAGATGATTATTTCCCTGATTAATCTGTTTAACTGGAGGCAGAAGTCAGAGAGGGGCTCAAATTAGTAAAAGACGAACATGTGTACACAGACAATTACACTGAATTTGCCATTAGTTGTTAACATCAGTGTGAAAAATGGGGAATTGTGTGCCCAGGCAGATACAGACATCGTGACAGAAATTATTGTTGTATGCAAAGGAAGTAAAATATAGGTGACAGAAAAGATATAAAGAAATAATATTCACCTTAGTTACATGCTGCACAACCCCATTTTATGCATTTACTGCAGTGCATTGTATTAAATGCCAAAAATCCTGAAGAGCACTTCATCAAGACATTGGGCGACCAAGGAGTTGGCAAATTTTAATTCTATTCAGATTTGTTATTTGTTTTTTTCAGAGAGCCGAGTGCTGCCTGAGTCCACAAGATTGTAACCCCAGATGGAGATGAATGCAAATCCAGCATGTAATGAGAAACAATTGTAGACCTAATTAAAATCTTGTACAGCCACTTGAGGCATCGTCTCTCTACAATAAGCAGATGCAGGCACAATAGTGTAGTGGCTGCCCTCTGTGCATCAGCAGAGCCCAGACTGCAGCAAAAACAAAGGACCACTGATGGAGAAGAGAGTGACCGTGGGCAACAGCCGATTGCTGATGTTAACTTGTGCCAGCAAGAATTGGCAAGTGCGTCCTGCTTGGTGAATGTGTATCCACCCTTTACAGCCCAGCAGAGATAAAGTAAAGTACATCCCTTCCTGCTGGATGAATAGATGTAATGCTGAATTATGACGCAGGGGACTACGGCGGCTTCAAAGTACAGATACAACGAGTCGTTTGGCGTGATAAAACGCACAACTCGGACCCATGATGTAATTCTGTACAATCTGTAGACTCCATGTGACAGCGAATAAACTTCCACAAGTCTACGTTAACAGCAACGACGCCGAGTCGCGGAGGGGTCAGCTTGCCACGTCCATTTAAATGTCCCCGGTAATTATACAACGCGGTGTTAGCGCTGCGAAAAGGTTCAAGAAAACTGACAAATCGTACTAGAAGACTGGGTTGGAAAAAAACACTCAACTTACCGGCATCATTTTAGCTTCGTACCGCATTTAGCTAACCAACACAGCATGAATCCCCACTGGCAGTTTCGACGAGAGCAGTGAAACTGGCGATGTCTGTAATCCCGAAGCCTCGAACCTAACGCCAATAAAGGCTACTTTCTCCAGCTTTTGGGGGGCTCCTGCATTGAAAGCAAACCACGTGTTTTTTTTTATTCTTTCACCAATTCAAACAACATTTTTCACAAAATATGACATGCATGTTATTGGCATCCCTTTTGGTGGACCTGTTGCTACCAATAACAGGGCCTCCACCGCCAAAGTTTCCGTTGTAGTTCAGTGAGCGCCGCTTAACTTTGGAACTAGTCTCATTGTTGGCGCAAATAACTAAACAAATATACATTCTACAGCAATATAAAAAATAAATAAGCTCTTAATGAAAGAGGTCCAATTTGTAGATAGTTTTCATGTTTTACTTACCACTGGCAGCGTATATAATCTGCACGAAACCCAGTTGGCTGACAGGGTTGCTGGATAGCTCGCAGCCTATCCCAGAGTGACGTAGCGAGAGGAAGTTCTCTCCAGTCAGGAATTCAGGCTCCGCCCCCGCGTGGCTCTGGAGCACAAACACCCCCCACTGGTCTGACCTGACCGGTGTGAACAATGAACCCACCTGAGAGAGATTAGAGCTAATGTCCCATAGCAACGTACCCTGGCTCAGCGGTATTCACAAGAAAAAAAAAAGAAAAGGAAACGGAGTTAGGAGCAAGGAATGAATACTGAGTTGTTTGTAAGAGGTCTCACTCTGTCACTGCCCAGCTCAGGGGTAATGTCGAGGCGGGCGGAGACAAGCAGGTTCACCATGTGACATTTCACATGTCGACCTCAATGAATTTTGATAAGAGTTTTGTAAAGATGATCAAAATCCACGGAGGACTTAAGTCCCAGATCATGTACAGACTACTTGAATATGTTGTATGTGACGTGCTGCCAGCCTGCCACAGTTCTTCATAATAGACCAAAATTAGTTTGTATCTTCCACACACAGATTCCCTGTTTGTGCTTTTTGGAATATTTGCTTACCATATTGGGTACAGATAAGAAGACCATAAAAAGACACATTTGAAAGATCTGGGGGCAATAGGAATGTCGTGTAGTTCGTACTAATTTGTTTATTCAAATATTATATAACAATGACTTTATGAAAGAAATACTATTCCAATATAAAAACTTGAAAATAGAATGAAATCAAATTTCCTGAAAGGCACAATCAGTAAGTCAACTTTTAACATAACACAATTATTTTGAATGGATATTTTTTAAATGTGTAATTGAAGTAAAAGCTAAATATCCCGTGTGTTCATTATTATTATCATTAATGTTTTCTAATTACAAACATTTGGAAATGTAGGGTCAATTCTTTACACTCAGTAAGCAAATTGTTTTACGTAAAAAATAATTCCGCTGTGGTTTCTGACAAATCATAGACGATCTGTAAAGAACTACTCTTTAACTACAACCTCCATAATTCCTTATCAACGGCAAGTCAGAGGGCTCAATCCCGCTCGCGGCAGCACATTTTGAGCACGTTGGGCGACGTACCTCCCAGTCCGCACGCAGCACACTGTGGTGCAGGTGTTTTGCATAAGGGAGTTGCTTGCTTTCGTCTTACCGGTGTGCCCGACGCTACCTGAAGTCATGGCTGACCAGGTGGCTGCCATGTGCGAGCAGCTTATGAAAGCTGTGATTGTGATGATGGATGCAGAAACAAGCCAAATATACCGACTGGAGGCCCTTAAGGTAGCAGCACCGGTTGCTAGCTAGCTGCTAGTTAGCCGAGCTTGTTAGTTATTATTGATGCGTTCGTGTGCGTAGATTGGTGCTACTGCTTAGCAGAACGAAACGGTCTGTATTAATCAGTAGTGTGTTTGTAATAACAGTCCCAGCAGCGGTAGTTTACAGCAGTTTAATTTGTAGATGAGATGAGCTGGTGCCTGTTGAGTTGGCCGAGATAGCCATTCACCCAATCTCACCCACTGTTGACTCACTGGCTATTCATGCAACAATAAAATCTCGGGGGTCAGGGAAATGGAGGTCAGTAATCGGGGACAGCTAACATTAGGTTGTCAAGGGCAACAGGAGCCCTAGCTTGATTAGCTACGTTGTATTTTCGCCTCGTGGTAATCACTTGCAGCAGTGCTTACTTGATGTCACTATGGGTCCTATTTAGTTGCTTCATAACGTTTTGATGGTCAAATTGGCCCTCAAAATAACAAGGCTCATCTTTCCCAACAGTTCTGTGAAGAGTTTAAAGAGACCAGCTCCCTCTGTGTCCCATGTGGCTTACAATTAGCTGACAAATCCCAGCCAGCTGTAGTGAGACACTTTGGTTTGCAAATACTGGAACACGTCATCAAGTGAGTTGAACACAAATTGCATTTCCTAAAACTAACAAAACATAATAAAAAAAAATATGTATTTGACTTTTTCTTTAAGGTTCCGATGGAACAACATGCAACAACAGGAGAAAGTGCAATTGAAGGAGTGTGCCATGCAGCTTTTATCCAAGGTAGATGCAAAAATAAGTATATCTACCTGTCATTAGGCTCAGCTAAAGCCTAAAAGCTGTCTCGCATGCATCTGACACCTGTCACTGTTAATGTGTTTTCATCAGGGCACTCATACTATCCTGGAGGAGGAGAGCCATGTCAAAGATGCCCTGTCACGAATAATAGTAGAAATGATAAAGAGAGAATGGCCTCAACACTGGCCAGACATGCTGAAGGAGATGGAGGCTCTTACCAGCCAAGGGGTAACTAGCACACTGTATGATACAGGAAATGTCACTTATTCTGTGGGCAGTGTGAATTCATTTGATTAGGATTACGTAATATATTGCATGCAAATAAGTTCAGAGGATGAGTCATTCTTATTTACATGTCACATCATTGCTTAAACAACTCAAGTGATGGTACTGCAAACGTCATCTTCTATCTGTTAGTTAAACTACGGTGTAGTTTTTATAAAGTTGTTTAAAAGCATTTGAAGCTGAAAATGATTGGCTAAAATGAAACCGGTACCTCTCATAGGCGGCGCAGACAGAGCTGGTCATGTTGATACTCCTGAGGCTGGCAGAGGATGTGATCACCTTCCAGACGTTGCCCACCCAACGACGCAGAGACATCCAGCAAACTCTCACACAAAACATGGATAACATCTTCAGTTTCATGTTAGCAATTCTCCATATTAACGCAGAGGACTACCGCAAAGTGGTAAGGGGGTCAGAACGTTATCATTATTTATCCTTTATTTGGCTACAGGTAGAGTTTAACTGTCTTTCATGTTTGTTTTTTTTCCTCAGAAAGGGTCACCTGGACATGAGCTGCAGGTGAAAAATCATTCCCCTTTTTCTTCAACAGGAAAATTGCTGTTGACCTGAAAACACTGATTGTCCCTCTTTGTGCCTGTTCACACACAGGCCAGATCTCACTGCCGAGTTGCCGTGGCCGCGCTGAATACACTCGCGGGCTACATTGACTGGGTGTCTCTGGTACACATCACCTCTAGAAACTGTCATCTGCTGGAGATGTTGTGTCTGCTATTAGGTGAACCAGAGCTACAGCTGGAGGCTTCAGAGTGCCTGCTCATTGCTTTGAGCCGAAAGGTGATTTTAAGGAAGAAAAACATAATTAGAAAACATTTAATTCCTTTTAAAACCATTTTGTTGTTCTATTTAAATTACTCCCAGTCATTATGACCTCATCCAAATAAACACTGTAACTGTTGTGGGTGCAAAGATTTGTGGAACAGAATTATCTCCATCCATACAGGATGGCGATGTTTCTTAAACTGAAGGAGATTATAAAATACACTTCAAGCCTTGTTTCTAAATGATGTAGCCTGTTCAAACTATGGTTTTCTAAGAAGAAAAAAAATTCTGCTCGACCTCAATGATTGCTAATATCACAATGATATCATGCATCTGTTCTCACTAATGTTATTTTATGTCTGTGATCATGGCACAGCCCTGCTGTGATCCAAAGAAACAGCACCACGATGTGGTCATTCATTACAAGTGTTTTGGCTTCCTAAAAGCCACAACCCTGCTTTTTTCCACAGTACCATCTTCAAATGTAGCTACAACTACTCCTGAATTTAAATATTTGAATCTTGTTTGTGGTTCATTACCTCCAACTCTTAGAAGCACAGTTATATATCAAATGGATTTAGAAATGTTTAAAATCCTCTCTAAACAGCAGAGGTTCCAGATTTGGGGCATTTAGTGTATGTTAAGAGTGAGAAGCCATGCTAAGTCTTTCATATGGTGCTGCAGGGCAAACTGGAGGAGAGGAAGCCGTTCATGCTGCTGTTTGATGACGTGGCCATCCAGTACATCCTCTCTGCAGCCCAGTGAGTACAGCTTCTCTTTATCAGTCTTTGTCGCCATCAGCCCTCTGCTGATTAATGGTCTGTGTGTTTGACTGCAGGTCAGCAGATGGATTGGCAATATGTACAAATTCGACCAACCCGTCGTAAGTACTGGACACATCTTCCCACCGTACGTTTTCTTTCAGCGTATCCAACAGAGCCTAACAGTGTACACTTTCTACGTACAGATCAGTGGAGGTGGTGGAGCGGCGTTACGTCTTCTTGAAGAGGCTCTGTCAGGTGCTGTGTGCTCTGGGATTCCAGCTTTGCTCGTTAGTGGTGAGTGTTTCATCATGCATTCAAATACGAAGTCATAAACACTCTTCCATCACAGGGCTTCTTTACAGAGGCGAGGGACTGGGTCAAATTGCAAATGGTTGACACAGTCATTCCCTTTTTAACAATGCTCACTCAAACATTCATACAACTCCCTTATCACACAGTAAGCCAAAATATTGTCAATTTTGCATTTCGGTCTCGTAACTAAAAGTAAACTATTGAATATTGAAAAAAGATGAAAGTTATGGCTCCTTTACTTAAAAAAAAAAAAAAAAAAAAAAGCTCATCATCCCTCAATAAAATTTAGGTAACTATTTCCATAAAGCACTGTTGGCAGTGACTTAAGTTTCTAGAAGTGAGAGAAAGTCAAAATCCCCGTTTGAGAATGTCCTGTGGAGAGATGAGAATAAAGAACAGCTCATCAACTTTCTATTAACAAAAAACAGAGGGATAAGTCCTAATGTAGAGAACTTTTCAGTAATGTTAGTTTACTGCTGACCTGACATCCCAGTTTAAGAAACATTTAGAAACTTACGGGTGGGACTTGCAGATGAGCAGAATTACCTCATTGCCTTGTATTTTGGTGTTCTGTCCCAGTTTAATTTAAATGGAGAATCAGAAGCAAGATATTAAGTTTGGATCGTTTCACAGTGCTTGCATTTTAAAACGTAAAAAAAACAACAGCAAAAAACACCTCAGCACCACCTGATAGGAAGGTGCCACATCGCTTATTTCTGTGACTTGGTTGGAGAATAGTTCTTACTTCTGTTGTGTGGCTGTTTGAATAGTCTCTTTATCGTTTCTACAGGGTTCAGATGTAAAAGTTGAAGTGCCTGCAAATCTCAGCAAATACACAGAGGCTCTGTTAGCCTTCACTACACATTCCAGTCAGGTAAGACGAATTTTTAGGGCATGGCATGATCTGCTTTAAATGCTTAAGGGCTGTGCCATGCTGCTTTGAGGGTTTTTTCTTTTGTGTGTGAGCCTCCTCTTGTTCATGTAATTTTCTTTCCTGCAGTTTTTAAAATCATGCACTCTATCAACATGGGGAGCTTTGTTCAGACACGAGACCCTGTCAAAGGATGCCGTTGTTACAGAGATGGCTGTCAAATACCTCAAAGCCTCTATGACTAACCTCGTCAAGGTGAGACAGCTGTTTGGAGTCTTGTGTACGGTCGTGTGCGTGAGGGGCTGTTCACAAATGTGGTTTGTCCCTCTCCTTTTCCCTCAGACCGGGTTTCCATCCAGACACGATAGCCCAAGTTCTGAGTACTCCCGGGTGGACTTTGACAGCGATGAAGATTTCAACTCCTTCTTTAACTGTAAGCCACATATTCAGCTCAACATCAGCCGAGACCAGCCCCAGTGTTTCGCGCTCTGACTGTCTGATTGGTGTGTTGTCCTGCTTGCAGCTTTCCGAGCGCAGCAGGGGGACGTCCTGAGGAGTGCGAGTCGCATCGTCCCTCTGGAAGCTTTCCATACCGCCGCAGAGTGGCTGCGGTATCAGCTCACCAGCCCAATAGATCCTGGAGATGCCATGTGTAAGTGAAGGGCTTGCTGATGCTCACAACGTTTTGGATTCAGTAAACTAACGCTCTCTGTTCGCTTTTCTCCAGCAAAGACAGCAGAGGGTTTATGTTCCCTCCGGTCTCCATCAGTCATGCAGTGGGATGCAGTGACGGTCTTCATGGAGTGCGTGGTCTCTCAGGTCTTCAAAACTCTAGAGGAGGAGGTAGCTGACCTGCTGTCAAATTACAGAGTGGAAAACCAAATGAATGAATGAATAAGGCGAGGTGCACTAATGCAGAGGTGTCTCCTCTTCTTGCCGCAAACCTTCCAGAAGCTGCCCGTCGATCAGGGCATGGAACTGCTGCAGGCCGTGCTGAACTACGACACCAAAGACCCGCTCATCATGTCCTGCGTGCTCACCAATGTCTCCGCCCTCTTCCCATTTGCCATCCAAAGACCTCAGTTCCTGCCACAGGTCCTCTACAAGGTCAGATGAGTGTTTTATGTTTTTAGGCATCCATCCTTCAGGTCTCGACTCGAAAATGACCCGAATTTGGAGGACTTGTCTGTTTTTTAACCAGTTTTACCTCCAGTAAGTGCTGATTAACACTGGCTCTTCTTATTTTGGCCCCACAGCTGTTTAAAGCCATCCCGTTTGAGATTGAACAGGATAGAAAAGTAAGCTGCCATCACAAAACAGAATATTGTCATTTTACCCTTGTCATTTCTACCAAACATCAAAAGTTAAAAATGAAATTGCCAACTTTTTCCCCAGATACCTCGGACCCGAGCTGTGAAGAACCTGAGGCGGCACGCCTGCTGTTCTATCATCAAAATTTGCCGGGATTACCCGCAGTTCATCTTGGTAATTAGAACTTAGACATTATTCGTCTAAGAGAGGTAAATGATGCTGAGTGTTTACTTGTTTGGTTGCTTTTGCCTTCCTCAGCCTTGCTTTGAAGTGTTTTACAATCACGTGAAGGAGCTGTTTTCCAGCGAAGCCTCACTGACGTACACGGAGAAGTGCTCACTGATGGAAGCCCTGGTGCTCATCAGTAACCAGTTTAAAGACTTTGAAAAGCAAAGAGCTTTTCTAGACGAGCTGATGGCCTCCGTGGTCACAGAATGGACCTCAGAGGAGATCAGGAGGTGCTTGAATTATTTACACTTATCTAAAATAGGACATGATGCGTTTTGAAGCCATTTCAGTCAAGTGCCATGTCTCTTTTCTGCCTTTTTAGTGTACTGTGGGATCCAGCCAGGTTCCTGTCCTTTATTGGAGCAGATCAGGTTGTCACTGAGCCAAATGAAGATGTAGATACAGCGTGCTTTAATAGAGGGCGAGTAAGTATTAAACAAAAGCCTCTAAGGAGTTAGTAAACCTTACTTTTTTGAAAAGATACATATTTTTTTCCCCTTGAAGTTTAACTATTTGTTGGCTCTGACGGGACAAAGTTTAAGTTTTGAAAAAGAACTCTGTCTGCCTTTTTTAACCCTTCATTTGGAAATCAGTTTTGGAAAACTGATGGATTTTAACACCGAAAGATTTATTTATTGGTCTTTTAAAAGGTTGTTTTTTTCATTCAACAAACCACGGATGTAATTTTATAACGACTTGAAATGAAAGTGACTAATACACATGATATATACACACATAATTTAAAGGGCATCAATGTACTGCTGTCACATTTTTTCCATTTGTGTTTTAGTTTGTACATTTGTCATATGCTAAGAGCTATAGTGGTCAGTGCACTTTGCTCTAACTTCAGCTGCAGGTTAGGCCAAAATCCACTAGATGGCAGCCCAATTCAGAGTATACTGAAAAGTTCAGTTAAAACAAATATTTCTGTACCTTTCATGTCTAATACGAACACGGTGAGATGGTGGAAACAGTGCATCGCTGATTTGTATCAGTTGTTGTAAATAAGGAAGATTCCTGAAAAAGGTGTAACCTAACCCAAGTGCGCCGGTATAGAGCCATGTAACTCCCATCCCGATGGAAAATATACCACCTCAGTGTCAGTATTCTGCTGGTTACCTCCTTTACGAGCTCCCCATAGCAACTCGGATGTCGACGGTATGTCTTAATAACTGATCCCCAAAGGCGAGTAAAGGGAGATTAAAGATTGCCATCACCAAGGTGCATGCCATGCAATTTCATTATTTACATTTGTCTTGGGCCCAACTGATATTGTGTTTTACGCACAGATGAGTGGCCTTTGCACATAGGTTTGAAATGGAAAGGGGCTGAGCACATTTTTTAACTTTTCATGCTGGGAGATTGTTGGGCCTCTTTCCTCTGCTGATGTAAAACAGCATCTGAACATGATGATCACAACATCATTGTTTTGATGTAATTCAAAACTAAAGATGGCTTAACCACCACACTGAAATTGTTTTTAGATTACATCAGTCATTAATCAGACTATCAGAATTATTTGGAATGTTTTCAATTCATTACCTATTTCATGAAATTAATTGTATTATTATTTTTGGTTGCTGCTCATATAAAAATAAACAATTTCAAGCTTTTTATTACAACAGATCTTAAGGCTGTATTTCATTTAAAAAATGTTCTTCTAGATGAGCTTCTGTTTGAATGCCATGCTGGTTGTGGTGAAGCGTGCACGTTGGCCTGCCAGTCTGGAAGAAGCTAAGACCGGAGGCTTCGTGGTGGGCTACACCCCCAGCGGAGCCCCCATCTACAGAAATCCCTGCACCGCCCAGTTTCTGGCCTTTCTGCCCAATCTGCTGGCTTTAATAAGGTACCCTTGACAGTTATTTTTTTCCTCCACAAAAAATAACCTTTTTTTTCAGGATCTGTCATTGAAATTGTTAAGTTGCAGGGACTTGGCAGTTAATATATCCCACTTTTGTCTGCAGGACTCACAACAGTCTGTTTATCCCAGAGAACATGGCTCGCCTCGGTGAGACTTTCTCCAGAGCTCACGAAATGATGGATGGGGAAAAGAACGTAGTTCTAGGTAAGAGGAGCTTTTTGCATGCTCTTTAAAAAAAAAAAAAAAAAAAGAAAGAAATTGTCTTCTTTTCATTGAACCATCATCTGCAAATATTGTGGTGGAAAATCTTCTCTTTATGTGCTGTTCCCAGGTCTCCCTCAATATCCAGTGGATATTTTTGACACCCCAATATATAGAAGCAACCTGGAGCGCATGCAGGGATTTTTATGCACACTATATGACAGCTGGTATGTTCAGAAACGTCCTTTTTTTTTTTTTTCCTTTTTACACCTTTATCGTCCATTACAAAACTTTAAACTTTGCCATCTACTGTTTTTACCTCTGCAGCTACAACGTCCTGGGAAACGCCGGCCCATCTCTGCAGCAGGAGTTCTACACTATTGACAGGCTGGCTGAAGGAATAGCTGGTTCAGCATTTGTGTCCCTCGACCACATGCCTGACCACAGAGTTCGCCCCATGATTAATATCCTTTTTTTTTTTTTAAAAAAAGGAGATTTTTAGCTTTTGCCTTATTTCAATAAGCAGGTTTTGGTGTGTTTTGTGTACACGGTCTTTTTCCTGGGTGGAGCTGTTGCTTTACGCTAACACAGATTTGCCTTGACGAGTGCGTACGGCTGTTTCTGAAGCAGCTGGTGCTCTCATGTCCTCTGGAGTACTATGACAGTCTGCTCCGCCCTCTGCTGGGCCCTCTGTTCAGCTACATGATGCAGGTCAGGACGCCGTTTACGCTCATTTCTGAGGTGGTTCAACCACAGCCGTTTAATCTCTCGGCTGTGTCTCCACTGTCACTCTGCAGAGGCTTAACATGAAGTGGCAAGTCATCAACCAGAGGACGTCTGTCGAGTAAGTTGTTACAACATTGAAACCCAGAGAGGATTTTCCAGATGTTCAGACGACACAGATTGAATTGAACATGTAAAGTTATAGATAATGCTTTTTTTTCATTTTTTTTTAATGATTCTTTTGTAAGTGATGAGGATGAAGAGGAGCAGGTGGTCTGTCAGGAGAGCCAGGTGACCCAGGAGATGCTGGAGGAGCAGCTTGTGCGCCTGCTCACCAGGGAGGTCATGGATTTTCTCGGTAAGCATATTTATGAATCTTTCATACACCAACGGTAATTCAAACATTTTAGCAGAGAATGTCATGTTTCATTAAAAAGTTGCTGTTTATTGAGTAGACAAAGTATGCTGTGCAAATTGTCCTGAGTGGCCAAGTTCAAACCGACAGAAAGCACATCAGATCTGGATTTATTAATCTCACTAATGCATTTGAGTCAGTTGTGTTTTTGTCACCCCCACAAAGCAGGCAGGTTTCGGAGCTTACTAAGAAAGAACAAATGGACCCCACCATTTTCTAAATGGAGCCAAGATTTGTCATTTTCCTCCTTTGAGAAAGAATCACCAAATACAGAGGGCTAAAGAGGCCAAGTTGGTTCTCATTCGTCCAGTTCAAATTAGTTTTCATTGATGAAGACTTTGATGAGTTTTGAAAATCTCAGGATGCTTGTGCACAACTGCCTGCTCAGCTTTTATGCCCAAGACTGGGGAAAAAGAGGGGCTATGATAGTAATACAGTTCTTCCTCCCACCTCTTTCAGCTGTGAGCTGCATTTCCAGAAAGGTGGCTGAACCCACAACAAACAAGGAGGAAATGGATGGTAAGAGTGAAGTTATGACAGGATTCTTTTTTTTCTTTTTTTGTCGGAAGTGTTTCAAAATTCTGTGTGAAACATGTACCTGCAGAGGAAGACGTGATGATGGATGCAGCACAGACGGCGACTCCTGCACACCCCTCTGATGAGCTGACTGAGCTGGGAAAATGCCTGCTTAAGGACGAGGTCAGCCCCAGACGCGTCGAATGACCATCGGAGAGCTGCGCTTGAAAAACGCTGTGTTTACACGCATTTATTTGCCATTCTCAGAACATCTACATGTCCCTGCTGACCCTGTCCTTCACCTCTCTGTCGTGGAAAGACACCACAAACTGCCATCGGACCGCTTCCATGGTCTGCTGGACCCTCCTGCGGCAGGTAGCTCCTTTAATTCACCACGTTTGTCGTCATGTTCAACTGAGCATCTGAGCTGTTTTTGCCAAACTGGACTTGAGACTTTGAGAACTCATTGAATGAGTGAAAATAATAAGTAATCTGAGATTTGGTGAATCGCAGGAGTCCTCGGGTACATTAGAAATGCTTGCTGACCTGATTCTCTTCTATGAAGGATTTAAATTTGGAACTTTATTAAATAAAAAATAAAAAAGAATTGGGAAGCCCAAGTTTATTATCTTCATTAAGCAGAATTTCTGCCTAATGGAATTTGGTCATTGTGGAAAACGCACATCAGTGTTAATTGTAGCGTTTGTGACAAACCAACCGTTAGTTGTTCAAACTGAAACTCGGCATATGTGAAAATAGCTCCTGTTTACACGTACACCCTTCCTCTCTTTAGGTCGTGGGGGGTAATCTCCTTCCCGAAGCAGTTACGTGGTTTTATACCAGTGTACTTCGAGGCCTTCAGATCCATGGGCAGCATGAAGTGTGTAATTCCACCCTGTCTCAGCTGGCCATGCTCATCTATGAAAACCTGGTAAGGCTCCTGATCAAAATCCAATCTTCTACATCTGCTCTCTGGCTGCTTTGTTTGTCCTTTGGGGTTGTTGACATAAATTTAATTGAGCAATCATTTTCAACATATATTAGTCTCTTTTTTTTATTATACATAAAAAAGTCAGAAAGTGGGAAGACCCCCTGTCTAAGACTACAAAGTGAATCAGTGAATACTTTGTATTTTTGGTTGGAAAAATAACTTCATCATCATCGCATTAATTTCACAGCTCTGCACATTTTTATTTGAAAGAATACAGAACAGTAGAACACTGTGTGGTCTTTAGTTCTGATCCATGTCCTTGTGTGTTTGTGTCCATCTGTGTTAGCGGCCTCGCTACTCAGACCTGAAAGCAGTGATGATCCAAATTCCAAACATTAATTTGGAGGCGCTGGACCACTACGATCACAGGCTTCTGGACCCCAAAGCCCAGAAGGTCGGAGAGAAGAAGCGGAAAGACCAGTTCAAGAAGCTCATAGCAGGAACTGTTGGGGTAATGCTGCATTCAAGCAGGGGCTGAACTAGATTCACCACGGGATGCCTTATATATTCAAGACATAACAAACCAAATAATAAAAACAGCAAAAAAAAAAAACATTGGAGTGATAAGATCTTATTTTCCTATAGATTTAAAGGTGTTGTAAGTGGCTTTATAGATGAGCTATGAGGGACAGATAATGAAGTGACAGCAGGATAGAAATGCTTGCCAAAATCTTTTAGCATTGTGGTTTGAGCTCCTATCATATCTTATTGTACTGGTTATTTTCTTTTTTTTAATGTTATATATTGTGGTGCCTCCTTATTCACAAAAGTTGTTTTTTTGTTTTTTTTAGAATTCAACTTCCTGTTGATTTTTAAGGTCCCGAGCAGAATCTGTTGAATATGTGCCAAAGCCTTTTATTTTGTAAACTCGGTTTTTGTGTGAGGAGGTGTGACAGAAATGTTGAGGTTCACGAAAATATAACAAGCAGTCTGTGTTGAATTCTACCGCAAGTTATGAATTACTAGGACATTTTTTCTTTTTGACATGATTCCTCTTTTAGTGGCAGCAGCAAAACTGTTAGAGTTGACACACAATGAGTGCGTTTACTGAAAGATTTTGTTTTTTTGGCTTTGCACTCCGCTGACTATCTGGGATGAGTCCGATTGTTGTGCAGACCGGAGGGTTGTTATACTCTGCTTTATTTATGGTTTGTCATATCCCAGTCAAAACTGGTAGCCCATGCACACACACACACACACAAACACACTCTGCTGGTATGGAACCACTGAGTTTTCCCACACAACAAATCCCAATTAAACATTGTTCTGAACCACCAGAGAGCAGTGCTCCATTGTATCTCCCTGTAGGCCGCTGTTCAGAGGATGGGAGCTGCTGGGCTGATCATTACTCAGCAGTGGGATCGTGGCGGGGCTCTAAATCTTCTGCGTGCAGCAGCAGAAAATGCGCAGCGGCTCGACAGTGCTGAACAATCGCATGAAATTCTTTGCCGCATGTCCGGGGTCGCTGTGTGTAACCTCTCCTCTCCCTTTCCCCCTGCCCACAGAAAGCTCTGTGCCAGCAGTTCAGGAAGGAGGTCCATATCCGAAATCTTCCGTCGCTGTTCAAAAAGCCAAAGCCAGAGAAGGACATACACGACGGCGAGCCGCTGGGCATCGCCGCGCTCTTCGCCCCCGAGAACGATTCCCTGTAGAGACTCAATGATTGGAGTGGAATTCCCAGCGAGTGGAGACAGAGTTATGCGTGCACACCGCAGTTTTGGTCAGCGTCCTCCGGCCGGGGCGTCGTGGCCCAACTTATCTGTCAACACTCCTGTTTTTCAGAGAAAAAGCCCTCCTCTCACTCTCACAGAGCCGCAGCACCCTTAACACTCAAACCTCTCCTCCACCTTTCTTAGCACACACGTAAATGGAAAAAAAAAGCTGTATCTGCTGTGGAAATTTGTAGGAAATATTTCTGACAGATTTCACTTTGGAGAAAATCTTCAAGTACCAGAGTAAGATTTTTTCTGCTGAAACTTCCAGCCCCAAACCCAACATACCCCTTATTTTTATTTGGTGCATTTTTCTCATTTTCTCTCTTTTTTTTTTTTCTTCTTTTTTTTGTAATCAGACATGGCCACAAACACACAAAAAAAGAATGCCGCAAATTTGTGGAGTTAGCAAATCTGAACGAGAGCTCCATGGCCGTTTGACACTCTGGAAAGTTACCGGTGTCTCCTGATTTACAAACAGTGGCTGCCGAGGGAGTCTGTTTTAACATTAGGAGGGAATGGAGGTTTGAGTCTGCATTCTGCAATCTGAGCAGGGACTTTACCAATACCAATAAGTCTGATCATTTTTGGAAGCTGTTGTTGGCAGATAGGTTGTTAGGCCATGCTCCAGCTGCTGCTATCAGGGCTGTTGTGTCCCAGTTTGAAACAAAGGAGGGAAAATGGAGGACAAACCCCGGCGCACGTGTCGGTTTACTTGTTTTTCCCCTGGCCGGACGAGCTTCAAAACGGTTCGATTCTAAGGGAAGTGCCAACGGTACCTGAGATTCTTCTACATTCCTTTTCCAGCTGCAGGATGTGTTGTGAAGATAACGAGCATGAATAGTCGTTCTCTGTCTGCTCTCTGCAGGTGTTACACAGATGGTTAAGGTGTGGAACAGTTTGTGATTTGCTAATTTATCACGCACAACTTAATATGAATACTCTTTTTAGGTTTGTGCACGCAATACATATCACATATTGTATGGTCAAATAACGCAGCCACATTTGGTGCCAAACATTTATATAAATGTGTGCGCAGGCATTCACGTGACACGAGTCTACCGTACATGTAATTTAATGACTTTGGAAAAATGATCTCCACTAATGTGTAGCTTAAAAGAAAAGTGTATTTTTATGTATGTTTTTGTTTTTGTTTTTTTTCTAGCTGATGAGTTGTTAATTAGGCCTTCGATGTTTTACACATGAGCTTTTTTGTGTGTTTTTGTTGTAGTTTTACCTGGCAGGAAAAGAACAGATAAACCAGCACTACATTCCTCCATTGTCTTAAGGGATTGTTTTTAAGTAATTTAAAAACTTTTTTCTTTTTTTTTAATTTTGGAGACATCAAGGCAGATTACATTTTTTGTTCTCCTCTTTTTTTAACCTTTTTTTTTTGTTTGTTTTTGTTTTCTTTGGTAGATTCAGACCAAAATACATAGGAGCCTTTTTGATTGGTAGACAGATCGGCATATCGAAGACTGTTTCACTGAAACATTTTAAAGCTGTTTTCATGATTTCATTTGTGTATGTGAGCAATTGTTTTCCTTCACAAATATCAACCTCAACACTAAAATATTCTGTACAATGAAGAGAGCATTTTTCAAAAGTGGATTGTGGTTTGTATTTTTGTCTCACAGGGCAAATATTAGTTGTTTTTTTTAAGATCTGGTTTCGGTGTGTCTAAGCTATCAATGGAAAAATCAAAAATAAAGCGGCAGATCCTTTGATTTGTTGGTTAAATTTTTTTGTTTTGTTTTTTAAAAAATATATTTATTTTTCATAAATTTTGTTTTTGTAATGTGTTGGTGGTGATTTAAGCGAATCTTCATTTAATGTGATGTTAATGGAAATCGGAGGAAAGAATTTCTCCCCTGATTGCTGAACATCAGAATAACAAAAGATAATCATATTTGAGTACTTAAATGCAGCATTTTAAACATTTGTATGGTTGACTGACTTTTACCAAACAGTATTTTTCATCGCAATAGCATTAGCAATTGTTTTATTTTAATTCTTAAATTTTTAAGAAACTTTTACTCCATAGCCTGACACTGAAGTTCTTTTAACAGTGTCTCTTTTCAATAGCATATAATATTCAGTCTAAGGCAGGCAAATAGTTGCATCAAAAGATGTTCCAAATATTTATTTTAAATGTAGAAGTACCGCAAAACAATGTTTTTGTGTGTGTAAGGTGCTTAATAGAAATATTTTTGCTGTTGATAAAGGACTGTTATTTGGAGGAATCTCGAGTTTCATTTAGCTATATATGCTTTTTCAAAGTTTTGATATTATTGTTTATTTGTTTTATTTTTATTTGTACAATCAAGCAGAGACCTCGAAATCGGTTTTAGAAAAATCCCATGTCTTTGGACTTAAGGAGAGAAGCACTACACACTCCGGGCCGGATGGTGGCGGTAATGAGACATTTTCTATTTGCTAACGCCGAGAATATGGTTAAAATAAACTCCAGAGAAACGCTTTAAAGAGAAATGGCTACTTGATGGCGATTTTACTGTCATTTGTGTTTTTTATTTTTAAATAAAGCAGGGACTGAAATTTCATTACGAAGTTGGCACAGTTATTTACTCCAACTTAGAGTTAAAGATTTTATTGGTTCCTATTAAAGTATTCTGGGGAACTTTTTACTGAGCCTTTATTACAAATAACATTTCATGCAGTCATTTCTACAGAATAATAAATGACTGAAGTACTACAGCAAACGTCAGTGACTAAATAACATAGAGATTGTTGCATTTACTCAACAGAGGTCAATTACTGAATACCATTTGACCACAAGTAATGATATTATCTTTAAGGTCTTCTATAAGAATATTTTTTAACATTTTAATTTAACAATTTTTCATAGCTAATTTTTCATGTAATACCGAGTTAATAATCCCTTTGGTTAACAATCAAAACAGTTATTGAATTATAATACTGTGCTATGTAATGTGTTATGTTTGTTTTTGACTAAGAAGAAGAGAATTTTGTTTTATCATTATTAAAAATGAGGTTATTTGCAGCAGTTCCTCTCTCTTATACACAGAAAGGCCCTAAAGAAATGTTTTCCTATGCAGCTCTCACATTCAGTATTTAATCTGTCATAGATTCTACACAACAATGTTCACTCAGCTTTATCAAAGCTTTTCATACATCATTATTAAAAACAGACATAATAGCTGATCACACACCCAGCAATTGTAAATTTCTCTTATTACTCTCAAATGATCTTTTCACTTACGGACTAACTGACTAAACCACATGCAAGTCTTACCTGTTTACATTTTCTGAGACTAACTACAGAAGAAGAGTAGTTGCTTAGTGTGGCTGCTTCATATGCTTTTGGCTGTATTTATATATGACAATTTTCAAAATGATTATATTTCAGCAATAGGCATAAAGGACAGTATGATACTCATATATTGCACCAGAAAAGATAAAAGGTATTGTACTGTTTATGTATTACCATTTCAAATAATATCTTATATGTAAATATGGATCGCAAATGAAAAATTGGTGCACACCTGTGTTCTACTGTATTTTTTGGTCTATATGTGTCTGCTCAGTTGTCACGAGGTGGTAAATGCAGCCCAAAACAAATGATTAAATACATAAAGTCAATGTAGATGGAACATGAAAATATTCAAGAAATAAAATAAACAAATAAAATAACATTAAAAAGCTGCTGCAAATGAGAATAATTTCTTAATCTGGTTTGTGTGCATTAGATTAGCCTTTATGCTTTGTTGTGCTTATGAAATCAGATTTTAAGAAAGGTTTCCATAAAGTTTTACATTCTTCAAATGGGGTTCGATTACAAAACATATAGCCTACAAATATTTTGTCTAAAAATGTGATGGATAGGCTTTTTAGAAGTGTTATTCACCACACTTTATTTAAACTACTGGTAAAGCAATCAATAAAAACAGCCAAAATGATGATAACAACAGCGAGTCTAATACTTTTAATTTTGTTTTAGGCTGAACCTTTTAATCAATTAGCACCAATTAGCCTGTTTCCCACCTACAGCACCAGCTTCACTGCAGCCTAGCAACGCCGTTGCCTCGCAACACCCAAGTTTCTGGTCAGAGAGGCTCTCCTGGTTTCGGACGTTACTCAATTAACAGAAGATGAGACGCAGGTGTGCGTTTAGCCAGCGTTCTTTAAACTAGCCCAGAGTCACTGCAAAAGAACCGATGACTAAAACTGGTAATAGGTGGTAGGCTCAAGATGTTTGTCTGTTTTCTTTTTGTCGTTTGTGTTTTGGCCGCCGGCCGTTTTCCTGACGCCAAACACGTGATGATTGGTCAGCCACAGAAGGTCCCCGTGAACAGCCCCAGCGTGGTGAAAGCGGCGCGGTTTGCTGTGGTGGAGTTTAACAGAGCCAACATACAAGAGCAGTTTGCCTACAAAGTTTTGAACATCACATCAGCCAAGACGCAGGTAAAACTTTATTGACTTAAACTCGTTTATTTTAAACGAGCAGTTATTCAGCTGTTTGTTTTTTTTTAAGTAGATTGTTGCCGGGATAAACTACATTCTCGACGTGAACTTGGGACGTACGGTGTGCAGGAGGAGGGACACGAATGACACCAAGCCATGCGCGCTCCACGCTGACCCCAAGGTTGGTTTAACTATTTACCTGCATATAAACTAACTCGGTTACAAATAAAATGGCACGCCAAATCCTCACGGAGATCAGATGCACAATTGTGAAGCTGGGCTTTTATTTTAACTTTATTTATTTATTTTTCCTCTTTGAGCCTGATGATTGGGGTAAACTTTTTTTTTAAAGTCTCTAATCTACAATTCATTTCAGGAGCGTGAGTGCCACTTCATTGTTACAGAAGTCCCGTGGGAGAATTTACATGCACTTACTCAACACAAGTGTCACCGTGACTAAGGAAAAGGGGAGGAGCAGGGGGGTTGTCAAAAAATGTATTGTTTTTTTTTTTTTAAGTAAATGGTTATCAACAAGAAGTGTGGTTGTGTTCTTAAACTTTCTAAGTGATGTTCCAAATCCTCCATGGCAGAATCACAAACCAGTGGTTCTCATTTACTACATGTCTCAACCCTAGGCTGAATAAGCTCGGTGACCTGCACCCACTATGCATTGGGTGGGTCATAATTATTCCATTGAGTGACTTGGGAAGCTTTAGTACTTCATCTCAGTGTGTGTCCTGGCAGTTGTTAAGCTCTGGTTGCGTGTCAAGCTTGGTCAGACACATGGTTGCTAAACTGAGATGAGGCTGCACCTCAATGCTACAATGGTAGGTTCCAGAAGGGCTCTGTATGGATGGAGGATTATGGGCATTTTGAGATTACTGTTAAGCAAGACTGAACTGTCTGCTGTGCTGACCCCTTTTTAAAAAAAAATGTTTTTTTAATTTATTTTGAATAAATTGACTTGTATAAACAAGGGTTGGGAACATGAGCAACTTTGTGATGGGTGGGTTGAATGGATGTCAAAGTGTCTATAGAGAAGTGAGTCTAACATGGGTCATTAAATTCTTCTAAAGTTGCATTTCAATGGGGATTTTATTTTTTATTTTTATCCGTAAAGTTATCAGTCATTTTGGAATGCAAATATGCCAAGTGTGGGTGGGTGAACGCAATTAGTTAAGTTAATCAAACTCCTGCACAACATGTGTGAATGTCTTAAAACCGAGCAAAACAAAGAATTGCCTGGTAATGTCTCAGGAAATGGGGGCTAGGAATGTGGGGGGTAGAGGGATACTCCTTACTGTTGAATGACTAACATTGAAGCTGAAGCACTAGGAGTTTGGCCTGTCCATCTGCCATTCCGCTCACCCACCCACTGACACACTAACAGGTGCGTGCACGCAGATACACGTGTCTCTATGTGCACGAGCTCACATACGCCACCCCATACTCTGGCCCTACCCTTGTCCTCACTTAGCCTGGGCAGCAGATGGTGAGGGGTAATGCTTGTATCCCCCTCCTAACTCCAAGCCACCAGCTCCATCACCCCCAATTTTTTTTCTCTCCCCCCCTACGAACATCACCCCACCCTTCTTTGTGTTGTTGAGGAGCTTGAGTGTTGAAAGGCGAGCCCCAGCTTGTCCCCCCTACAAATCCTTGGCTGGCTGCCATTGGCGGGACTCAGTCAGGTGTCCTAATGCTTCAGTTAGGGGAGGAAACGCTGGTTAATCTGCCCATCGCGTGCCACCGGCCATGGCCTGGCCTCTTTGTGTCTGGCACCCCTCTGCTCAGTCCCTCCACCCCTTCATCTGTCTTTTCCCTGTCTCTTCCAACCTAGTTTCTCTTCCCCAAGACAGTGCCATCCCTCCAAGGAGATCAACCCTCTATCTCTCAAGAAGTGTTTTTCACTCCATTCTTTATGAAAAAATCCAGTAGTTTTGGCAGTTCCCTGCCATTAGTGTTGATGGATATAACCATTGTTACGCCGTTCTACATTGATGCTGACTCATCACAGGCATTCAGTATACTTGCAAATTCCCCTTATGGGCAACACTTTGTGGGAAAATTATTCTGCTGTTGTTTCTTCTGCTTCAATACAGCACGTTTCAGCCTTTTCAGTTCAGGTGTATTACTTGTGGAAAACATGCAACAATAATGCTCAGTGACTTAATTATTAATTCTAAATTATAGCACATGCATGTTAAATCGTTAGGGCCTATAATATCTATGTGGATTCTAAAGGAAAACATTGTTTTCTGTACTTTACTAGAAATGTATGATTCCATAATTCTTTCCCTCTTTTATTAGAAAAGCTTTCACCAGTGTAGAGATGACAACACCCTGTCTCCCTTAAAGGTGCTCTATTCTGATTATGAAGCCTAATGCTTAGATCGTTTGGAGAAGGTTTATGTGGCTGTATTGCATAACCAGAGCGAGGTCATTTCCATTTGAACCCTGCTGACCTTAGCTTTGATTGACCCTCGGTTCAGTTGCTGCTCCAGAGCCTAAGCAGGGTATAGGGTCAAAGTTCAAAGTATCCTCAGCTGTGTTCTCATGGAAACCACTGCATTTGCTCATCTGATGGTCAGTTCTTTTAAAGCTAAGAGTTCATTTTGCTGCTGTTATCCCAATTATTTCTTCTTAAATGGTGATATGTGGACTCCTGTAAGACCTCAAACATGGTTAGGCAGCTGTACTGAAACTTGAGATATTGATAATTACAAACCTACGTCCTAATTTTATATTACCCGGATACATAAAATCATGCTTCTCCCGTTTTTAAAATTGACTGAACAATTTGTTACATTTCACCAAATATGTATTTTCCGTTTAGACTTCTATTTCACTCTGCAGAAAAGCATACCTTTTTCTTTGGCGCGATGACCAAGCCAAAGACTCCGCCATTGTGGTCAATCAAAACACATCTGTGGTTGTTTTTTCAACTTCCTGTTGGTGACCACTGTGCAGGGTTTCCTTGCAATCAGTGCTGCGGCAGGGGGGAGAAAAATCAATACTTTCAATGTAATGTGTGGCCAGTGGAATAAGAGCATGATTTATGTAGGAAAGGCAACTCCCTGCATCTGTGTTTGGTGGCTGAATGAATGGAGGGTGGTAGGTAGAGAAAGAAGAACTATAAAATGTTAAAGTGTGTGCTGCTGCTGTTGGTAGTGTCAGCACTCCTCTTCCTGCTGTCCTCCTCTCTTTTCATCCCTCCAGCACACCATGCTCTCTAAAGCATCCCGTTTAATCTTAGCTCTGTGGTATTATAAGACTAAAGACCGACACAAGCGCACAACACACACCAGGAGTTTAGCAGGTTGTGGACCAAGAGCCAAAAAACAGCATATGTCTGTCTCTCGTCCAGATTAATGGGAGCATGTTAATATTACAATCCAGTGAGTGAGGAGGGGATAGGAGTAGCAATGGGTGGGAGAGGAAAGGTAGAGGGAGAGTGTAAGAGCTTGGCAAACGGACTAAGATTCAGAGAAAAGCACGAGGCAAGAGGATCGAGAACATGGAGAGGAGGGAGAGAGCAAGTCTTGGAAAGAGATGGAAGTGTGGAGGCGGGAAAAAGCGAGAGAAGCGAGGACATAACAACCATAGAAAAATGTGTGTCTGTTTGCTTTATTGCAGTGGCCCCACCTACCCCTCTATCCTGTTAAGGAGGCACGGTCCTGAGGAGGAGGGGTAGGATGGTAGGATCCCCTCCCTCAGCCAGCGACACGGACACACACACTCTCTGTGGCTCATACACACCCTCTGCTCCGTGAGGGAGCAGTCGCTGAGGAGCTCTGGATAGACCATGCAAGGTTCTGCAGGTGTCCCACCCTTCTCTCAAGACATGGATGCTTCAGGGGGTACTATTTGACTTTCTTTTTATATTCTGCCCTTTTCTGTTATTTAATTTTTCCCTGTTTTATTTATAATGTGTGTGTATATTTCCTCCATGTTTTTTACTAATCCTAGAGCCTCTGCTGCTTATGTGTTTGGAAGAGATTGCATGTGTATTTGTGAGGCTAAATGCATGGTTGTACAGTTGTTTACAAGCTCTGTTGTAATTGGAGATCAGACAACTTCAGCAAAGTGGATTTTATTAGTCACAAGTGTTTCATAGAGATTCTATTTTATCATCATATATCAAAGTTTTAAAATATGTTTTAAAGGACTCATGACTCGAACCGCATGTTGCATTATTTCTTTATTTTTATTGCCATTTTCGGGGTGTAGGGCAACATAGCGGACTATGAATAGTCTGTGTTCACATGCGTATTCATGCTGTTTGGGGAGAGGTTCTCTGAAAAATTTAGTCCAGAGGAAGAAAAAAAGTTCAACCAGAGACCAGTTTGTTTAGTCTTTTAAGGGGGGGGGGTTGCAGTAGTGGTGATGTATACTGTAGTTGAATTTAGTCTTCAGTTTTGGTTGTATTTTTTTTATTTTTATACCAACATAAAATTGAATCATTACCTAAGTTGCAGTGTGGCAATTTTTATTTCATCATAAATCCACATTTTTGTGTTATACAAACATTTTATTGTTAAAGAAAAAACCCACTTTGTTTTTTATTAGAGTGAAATAAGGGCGATGGTCACAAAAATGGCTAACAATCTTTTGATGACAAGTGTGTGTGTGTGTGTGTGTGTGAGGAAGAGCACATGGCTTGTATGTAACGTGGTGTACTGGCAGACACCCAATACACCCCTCTGCTGCTCATGCTCGATGGAGGCACAGTAAAATGTAATGCACATCTTATCGAATGATTGAAAATATTTAAGGGTTGTTTTTTTTGTTTTTTTAGATATCTGAATAGTTTGGATATTCATTGATATGCGTTTTTAAATTTGCGTATTAATGCTGTTCATGCCATTTATTCTTGAGCTATTGTGTGAATTTACAGGATGATTAAGGTAAAAGAAAAAGCTTTCAGTCATTTGCCCAAGATTGAATGTAAACAGCCGTTTGACTTTAGCTTAAATGGATGATGCACATGGTCACTTTTGTGGCTTTTGCTTATCTGCAAACAGGCATGATTGAATACTAATGCAATTATCATTTTCAGAATTGTTTAGAAATGTTAGTTTTTAGACCAGGCCACATGTAACCTTGATCTCGTGGTGAGGACATGGAATTTGTGTGGTCATTTGTTCGGACATCATCTTGAAATCCATGCTGAAGGTTTTTCCTCACCAATATAGCTCCCCCTCATCTTCTACTTTGCTCTTCCTTTTGGTTAAAACGGCGTTCTCTACGCCCTTTTTTAGGCCTAGTATTGACCTGTTAATAGTATTATCCGCAGAGCGTGTGGCAGGGGTAGGGTCACATCCCTCTAGGGTTTTGATGGTCAGCTTTCTGGCCAGACTTTGGTCAGAGAGTGGCCAATAGGACCAAAGATGTGGTCATTCTTCAATCTAGCTGCTTTGGAAACAGAGGTCACATGAGTCAAAGGGTAATAAGTTTAACCCCACGAGGGGTGAGAAGTCAGAGGTCACAAGCAGGGCTATAGGGAAAAGATTTGATTCATCAATCAGTGGCACTCCTTC